CAGTTTTAGATGAGGACACACGACGTCCATGGTAGCATCTGTAGTTCAGTGCTGTTTCTAGGGGAACACTTATTGCATTGCTTTTGGTACTTCCAGAGAAGGAATGTTGGGTTTGGAGGAGTCTAATTTTCATCCCCAGGAAAGTGAAAAATTGAGGTGAATCCCCAATATTCGACTTCTCTAATTCATTTAAGGAGGGAGGGGGCCGGAGGGCGGGCCGGAGGGAGGGGTAGGCTTCCCGCCCCCCTGGCAGCTTCAAAGGGAGCAATTTTCTCGTAGACGGCTGGGCTAGGCTAGCTGCGCCCCTCCCCTCCCCCGCTCCCCAGCCCCCTCCCCCGGGCGCACACTCACACTCACTCACACAAGGGCCCAGCGTCAAACTTTCCACTGCCCAGATGGGGACACTGAGGCGCTTGCTGGAGACCTGCCAGGCAGAGGAAAGAAGCCGAGGGGGAGGTGGCCTCGGGGTGCTAGGCCAGTGAACGGGTCCTGGAACTCTGTCCTACGCCCGCCCAGAACCTGCGGCCACTGGGGCCTGAACAAGGAGGTGGCTTCGCTGGGATCGGAGAAGGAGCTGGTGTGGATTTCTGGAAGGGCTTGATCTAGGCTCCCGGGCGCTCTGTACCTCCCTTCCCTTCCTTGCTTCCCTCCCTCCCATCCAGCCTTTCTTTCCTTACTGAGAGCACCAGTGGCTCTCTGTGAAAGGAGGGAAGCCTGGGAGAGGCTGTGAGTGGGAAAGCGCATTCCGAGAAGAGAAGAGGCGCCCAGCGAGGCTCGAGTCACCGTTCTTGCTCAATCCCGCAGGTCCCCTAGGGCGAGGAGGAGGACCAGCTCACCGCTCTGTGGGTGGCACTTCCTCTGTGCTGACTGCCGCACTGGTCACTTACAGGAGGTAACAGGGTTAGGCCGCCAAGCCTCAGAGCTGCTTCCTGATGGCCCCAGGGAGTCCCGCTCCCCCGCAGCTAGGGGTCCTCACACCTCCTCCCTGTCGGGGGTGGCTCCCTCCCGTCAGAGCAGCTGCTGAGCCAGGGCTTGGAAGGAGTGAGAAACCCCAGTAGGGCGCCACACTGAGGCCAGGAAAACTGGGCATGGACTGGGGGGGAGGAGGAAAGGGCAAAGGGGCGGAGGGGGACCCCCGGGAGCTCTGCCTACCTGGCATGGCATGAGGTCTGAAATAGCACAGGCCGGGGCCAGACCCTCTCATAAGGGCCCTAAGGTATGGCTGGGCACCGTGTCAGCTCGAGGCCCTACTGGGACAGGGAACACGCGATGGCTCAACCAAGCTATGGTCCTAGAAGAAGCTTCCAGGCCGGACCACGTAGAAGAGAGAAGGAGCTGCGGTTCCCTCTGGCTCGCACAGTTGGGACCAGGAGGTTGGGAGCACAGACCTCGTGTCTTCCTTTTGCCGCGAGATGTCTCCCGACACGTGTGGCAGCAGACAGAACCACGTGGGCACCCTGGAGCCCCGCAGAGCTGCAGCACTGCCACTCGTGGCCACCTGGCCACATCTCTGCTCCTGCCCTGCCCTGGATTCACAGCCAGGTATCACTCAGGGCTAAGCGTGTTGGTGGGGACCAGGGACACAAAGCCCACAAGGCACTCTGCTCTGTGAGAGCAGCCAGGTGCAGAGTCCCGGAGTGCTTGGTCCCATTCAGAGGAAATGGCCAGGCCAGGCCCATCCGTAAGAGACTGAGAGGAGAGAAGAGATGGGCGGGAATGGGAGGGGTTGTGGGGGGGGGGGGCAGGGCTAGCGAAAGGTCTGTGTTTTCTTGCTGAGGGAATGAAAATGTTCTAAAAGTGACCTTGGGGATGGCTGCAGCTCTGTGAAGATCCTAAAGGAGATTGTATGGTGCAAAAGAGCTTCAAAAAGTTCGTGGAGAATGGAATTTAGAGAAATGCAGATCTTGAAATCCACGCACGCATATGGGGATGCAAAGTAGGTCTCAAAAAAAAAAAAAAAAAAAAGCAGTGTTGCAAAAGGAAAAACTCAGAAGGTACCCAGCTGCCCACACACGCTTACCTGAGGAGCCCTTTGCTGAGCACAGAGCCACCTGCTCCCGGGGGCTGGGGCCTTAGGCGCTGGATCACTCTGGCCTTGGCCTCCTAGAGCCCCAGGAGGCAGACTGTGGCACGAGCAGGGGACTGTCGTGTTCTTGTGTCTTGCCCCTGCAGGGCCACACCCAGGAAGGCTTCCTGAAGGAGGTGACAGAGCAGGGAGCAGCAGAAGCCCTTGCACGCAGCTGGCTCTCAGGACTCCAACAGGCACCAGGCATGTTCCTGGAGGGGCTTGGGGATGATGATAAGGTGATACCCCCGGCCACCCCACACAGGACCAGGAAGCACCGGATACACTTGGGAGCGCTTCCTTGAAGGCGGGGGATGCATCTGGGCGATCCTTGCATAAATACGGTTCTCATGCCTGGAAGGTTCTGTGTCTGTGGTTTGTAGTCTGCAATAAGCCGTAACTGCACGCTCGCTCCCAGGCCCACTGAGTCACTGGGCCTGCCTCCTTAATTTGGGGGTCACTCCCACACCAGCCAGGGAGCACCTCGGTTCTTGGGTCTCCCCCCATGCTGTGCAGGAAGCATCTAGACCCCAGCTGATGTGCAGGGGTACAGAGCACCCTCACTGGCTAGAGGGGTCAGGTGGCTTCCTGCCCTTTTGGCTTCCCTGAAGGGGGAGGAGGCAGGCAGAGGGCGGGAGGAGTGCAAGGGGGGGCAAGGCAGGAAGGAAGAGCAGGCATTTCCGGAGGCCCCCAGGGCTCCCAAGGAGGAGGAGGAGGCCAGAGCACAGCTGTCTCAGCTCTCCAGGAGCAAGGGGTGGGGGCGGCAGAGCGGGGCTCCTCCAGCATGGTGGCCGGCCAGTGTGTGCGACTCTGGGACAAGCCTCTGGAGCCCAAGCTGGGACACTTCCCACCGAGCTCTCAGCCCCGTCAGGCTTCGGGGAGTTTCGGACTCCGTGCTCAGAGCAGCCAGCCTCACCTAGCCCTCCCGCAGGCAGCTGCTGGCAGATGGGTGGGTGTGAGGCATAGGCCTGTGCCTTGGAGTCCCACGGAGGGAAGGGCTGCGGGGAGGGCACGCCCCCTCCCCGGGGTGTCCGAGTGCAGCCGGCTGCCACTCCCTTGGCTCGTGTGCGCAGAAGGACCCTGTGTCAGCTGCAGCCTGTCCCCCCACAGCTGGCTTGCAGCTGTTTGTGCCCTGGCTTCAAAGCGGGTCCTCTACGAGTCAGCCCCCAGGCTCTCAGGCCCTGTCCCGCAGGGCCTCCCTCCCCATCAGAGAGTGTGTCGGGTCAGCCCAGAGCCAGGGCTCTCTCCCATGAGCATACCCTGATGCCTCAGTTTCCCGGACTCATCCTCAGCCAGGCCACTTCTTGAGTTGAGTGGCCATGCCCAGAGCACCCCAAGATTCCAGGTGCTGCTCCCAGCCTGCCGGTTTTGTCCACCCCCATGGGGCCTGGGCAGGGCCAGCGGGGGCAGAGCTGTGGCACAGCACTGGGCATTAGGGGGACCATCGGAGTACAGGGAGCGGGGCATCTGGGAAGGCACCTCTTGCCCTTATGCCGGAGAGATAGCTGAGCTGGTGCTGAGTGGGCCGAGCTTCCACTTTCTGGAAGCTTCCCAGTGCCGGATGGCCGAGGCGTGGCTGGTGAAAGCTGGCACTCTCCATGCCAAGAGCTTTTTTTGACCTTCCCCTGAGGACATAATCACACAGCATCTCTCCCCTCTGGGCCACCAGGGCTGTAATTTCAGGGCCCGTGGGGGGCTACGCAGAGGTCCAGCCTGTATCTAGCTATCTTTAGCAAGGCGTGGTCTGGGGCGTGGCCAGAGCAGGGTGAGTGGACAGGGGCTGTGTCATGGGGAGGCCTCCGTGGCCAGCCTTCAAAGCCAAGGAGACGGATGCAGGCCATGATGTCCCCAAGGATCCTGAGCCTCAACTCTGGCCCTCAGCGGTGATCCGATCAGATCCCTGGCAGAGGCCAGCACCTAGCCCGAGGGCCGGATAGTCTAGCTAGTGTGTCTGGGGTTGTCCCTTTGTGGCCACCACGGAGGAAGGAGCTTGAGTGAAGCTTGCCTGCCGTATAAGGCAGGGGAGAAGACTCGGAACAGGAGGCAGGGAGGCCAGAGACAAACAGATGGATTGGAGAATTTGCAGACCAGTGGGACTCACTGTGGGACGGGGGTCAGGCGAAGGGGAGCAGAGGAACAAAGTCATACTGTGGTCCCCAACAGGGGACACAGGCCCAACCCCAAGGGGCACTTGGCTCCCCGGCCCTTCTCCACCCCTTGAACTGTTGCTGGTCTTGTGAGTCACTCGTGCAGCGACCCTAGGAGAGCTCATTGGAGAAGCTGACGGCGGGAGCATGGGCACAGGGTGTCAGGGGAAATACCTGGGGATGTCCCTTGTGGTGCGGGCCCCTCCTCATCCCCGTGGGCCTGCCAGTGCTGGGACCACTGAGGAGCCCCAAGCCTCCAGCCCTCTGGGGGACCTACCTGTGCTGAAAAGCATGCTCTTGACCGAGCCATGCCTTCGGCCCTGGGCAGCCCCAGCTCACAATGGCACGGTGATGCGAAGCCCGCTCACCCCCTTTGCCCAGCTCCTGAGTGCCTGTGAGGTTACCTGACGCCTGGCTACACCTGCTTTATGGGTCGCAGCCCAGGTGGTGACCCCAAAAGCCCCTGAGGAAAAATGCCCTGATTCTACCCCCTCTGCCAAGCTGTTTCTTGTCTAAGAAGAGAAATGAACCTGGGGAATCCCCTGTGGGCTGCCTGGCCTCTGCCTGCCCCCACCCTGTGGGAGCCCCCCTCGCCCTTCTCCCTGCCATGTGGCCAGGGGAGGGCCTGGGGCCAGGCTGCTTGACAAGCAGTAGCCTCCTTAGCTCCTTCACTCAGTGGATGTGAGATGGGGAGGGGATGGGGGGAGATCTTGCAGCCTGCCCTTCCCATACTGCCCGGAGCCCAGCCTAAGGGACCGTGAGGAGGGTGGGGGCTGGAGGGTGCCTGCAGCACGAGGGGCGAGGGGCGGGGGCTGGGCCCCTGAGGAGGGGTCGTGAGATCTGGGAAAGCTAGTGCGGGGCTGTTGACCTCTGACCCAGCCCAAACAGGAAGTGCCCTATCTGGTGGCCCGGGCCTGGGAGGAGAAGGAATGCAGGGACGAGTCCAAAGCAAACACTCCACCAGCTTCCCAGGCCTCTCCCCACCCCCTGCCACAGTCTGGTCCTGTCTCCACGGAGAACATGGGGGCGGAGGTAGGGGGATGGGGGAATCGGCTCGGGCTAGCAGCAAGCAAGGCCGTTCTCAGGCCCGGATCCTGGCCGGAGCTGGTGGCGGGGCAAGGTCTCTGTGATGGGCATTTGGCTCTTCCTCCTTCACTCCAGCCGCCTCCAGCAGGCCTCAGAACAGGGTCTGCTCCCTTCCTCCTGCCACGTCCTGCCTGCCTGTCATCCGGCTGTGTCCCTGCCCCCAGACCACCATGAGCCCCCACTCCCCCAGGGCTCAGGGCTGGGCCCATCTTGCTCCTGCCCTGCTCCTCTAGGGCACAGGGCATGATGGCCCCCTCACAACCGCCCAGTGGCTTCAGGGGGCTACACAGACCCTGAGTCCCCGCCCAGCACGGCCGGCCAGTCCTGGCTTCTGGGCCCGACAGGGCTGAACCGTCACATGGCGGGGCTCTTGGCACATGATGCGGTCAGCAACTCCAGCCAGGGGCTGCTCGCTGCCGAGTCCCCAGGGCTGGGCCTGCCTCGCACAGACCAAGTGCTGCTTCTCTAGGAATTGTTAAGTGGCTGCTAATCCTTTGCCTCCTCTGGCATCAGGCCATGGGGTGGGGGTGGGGTGTGGATGTGCATGGGGAGGGGGCCAGGGTGAGGATTCTGGAACCTGGAATGGAGGGAGGAGAGGCAAAGTGCTCTCACGGTGGTGCCACCGTGTCACCAGCCCCTGGCTTCACTGCAGCTGTGGGTGGCTTTGGGACAAAGAGGGGAGTGGGGGAGGCTCTCAGAGAAGCTGTGGGGAGCAGGCCTGTGAAGCCCCTGCTGACGAGGCAAAGTCTCGGGTGTGGCCCAGGAAGTTCATGGGCAATGGAGACCTTGGCTTAAACAAGATGCGTTTATTACGTTCAAGTTCAAACCAGCATCGCCCCCTCACTCCCTGCTGGGCCGTTTGCTAAGCCAAGGGGCCTCATGAGCGCAACAGGGAAGTGGGTGCTTCTCACACAGCAGGGCTTCTGGATCTTTCTCCCAGCTCGGGTCTGGGCCGTTGCCCCAGTGAGCGCTGTGTGTGTCCAAGGCCGGCAGGCAGGGCGGGGCTAGGAGGGCTCCCTCCGCTGGGGCTGGAGGACAACGCTGTGGTAGGCCCGGATGCAGGAGAAGGCAGTGGGCGGGATGCGGCGCGTGTCAATGAGGTTGTTCTCCAGGTGCGTGGAGATGAGGTTGGAGTCTTGGGCCACGCGTGTGTCACAGATGGAATTGAGGGGCACGTGTCTGTGGAGTGGTGGCGAGAAGACCCGGGAAGGATGGCAGGCGTCACGCAGGAAGGGAGGAAGAGAGAGCCCCACAGTCAGAGGAGTGGGCTCCTGACACCGGGTCCCCGCTGCCCCTGGCGTCCTCTGAGATCTGCCCGAGCCCAGCAGGAAGGGCGCGTCTTCCTCCCCTGACTGCTGGTGGGCCATGGGGGCACAGCGGATGGCACGGGCAGGGCAGGGCTCCTACCTGATGTTGTTGTGGCTCAGGTGCAGCACCTGCAGCCCCCTGAGACCCAGGAGGCCTCGGGGGACGGCCTCCAGCTGGTTATGATCCAACAGCAGCTCAGCCAGGGAGCCACGCAGGCCCCAGAAGGACACGGCGTGCACGCCGTCGGCACGTAGCCTGTTGTGAGACAGGTGCAGGAACTCCAGGCCGGGCTTCATGTGCGCGAACACGTAGCCGGGGATGCGCTCAATGAGGTTGTGGTGCAGCAGCAGACGCCTCAGGCCCCGAGGCAGGAAGGAGGGCACGTGCACCAGCCAGTTGTGGGAGAGGTCGAGGGTCTCCAGCTTCCTGCGGTGCGAGGCACACGGGAGCGGGACGAGCTGCTGGCGCCACACGTGGGGTGACCACGCCCAGCAGGAGAGTGCTCACTGATCCCCAGGAACCAGCCACAGCCTGGAACTCTCCACAGCTCGGGCCCAAGGAGAGGGGATGTGGGTGGGTGGGGCTCTCAGCAAGTGTGGAGGGTGCCTGGTGTCTGGGCTCAGAGCAGGGCGTGGAGCTGTCCAGCCCTCTCCTCGTGTCTCACACTCCTCTTGGCCTCTGCCACCTCACCTGTCTTATCACCAGCTGTGCAGAAAGCGGTGGGGGTGGGGCGCGGGGGTGGGGAGGAGCCACAAACCAGGCTCTCAGAGAGAGACTGCATCAGGGCAGCCATGATTGATCATGTGGGCCTTAGTACGCCCAATCCCTGAGGCCTGCACTTCTGCAGCAGGAGCAGAGAGTGGGGATGCTTCGTGGCCACGCGACCAGCAAAAGTGGCCTTGCTCAGTGACGTTCCGCCTGTCCTGTGGGTGCGGTCAACCCTTTGCCTCGTTCCTCCATGGAGCTAGCAGCACTCTCCCCTTCCACCAGCAGAGGAAAAAATAGAGAGAGAGAGAGAGAGAGAGAGAGAGAAGCAGGCCAGCCCCACCCGCTAGCCCGCCCGCCCTGGCTTGACTGGCCGCCAGCCCCCTGCCCAGGCCCCGCGGCGGCGGGAGTGGAGCGCGGCTGGGCGGTCCCTCCCAGGCTGCCGTCTGCTTTCCTTTGCCCCCTTGGCAAGAGGGGGAGAGGAAAAAGGAATAATTAAACCCAAACGTCCTGGTAACTTTTTCCTGGAACGCGAGGATGCAGGGCGGGAGGCGCTGGAATGGCTGGCGGACTGTCTGCGGACCCCTGTCTCTCCAGCCCCCCGCCCCCCGGCCTTGGTGGCCACCAGACCCTCCTCAGCCTCCTGCCTGGCCCTCCCCAGCCTTCCCCGGCCCTCCTGTTGTTCCCACGCCGTGTCCTGGCTCCTCAGCTCCGTAGCCTCTGGTTGCTGTGAGAGGCCAGGAAGCGCCAGCGCCCCGCCCCAGCTGTCCAAACCAGATCTGGGAGCTAGTGGAGGCCCTTCTGGTGGTGAGGGGAATGGTGATTCCACCCCCCTCCAGTCCCTCACTGGTCAGAACTCAGCCTTAAAAGAGGCAGAAACGAAGAGGGAGACTCACCACCAGCCAAGGGACAAATGGGGCCCCCGGAAAGCTGCCGAGGCAAAGGAGGATCCTTTCCCTGAGAGTTCTGAGGGCATCTGCCCCCCGCATGCCTAGATGTCAGATTTCTGGACTGCAGAACTCAGGGAGAAGCCACCTGCTGCCAGCAGCTGCCTGGTTAGTGATGGCAGCCCCAGGACACTTGCACGTCTGTCTTTCCTGTGCGCCTCCATGCCACACCTCTCCTGTCCTGGTTGCCTTCCAGTGAAAGCCAGCCCTGGGCCACCTTTCCCCTCCACCAGCACCCCTGCACCCAGGCCCGCAGCATCTCCCAGACACCCTCTCTGGGTGCCAGCAGGGCAGGCCTGGGCATGGGTGGGCGAGGGGTGTTCTGGGCGGGAGGGAGAGGAAGGGCCTCAGAAGCTGGCAAAGCCTTGAGAGCAGGTGAGTGGTGGGCAGGGACAGAAGACACCCAAGTGGCGCACGTGAGACCAGGTCCGAGCAACAGACCCTCCCCCTGGAGCCCTTGGTCCGCCTGGCCCTCTCTGGGGCTTCTTGGCTCAACACTACTCTCGTTGCCCACCCTGCCTGCCTCCCTGGCCTCTGTGTGCCCAGCAGGGTGGAGCCCACTGAGGCAGAGCACTCACGGGAGGTCGATCCAAGCCCGGGGCGCCAGCCGGTCCTCCTGGAGCCGGTTGTTGCTAAGCACCAGCACGCCGAGGCTGTGGCTGTGCCTCAGCACACCCTCTGTCACCTCCTCGATGAGGTTGGTGCCCAGATGCAGCTCCTAGGGCCAGGGGTCACCATGAGGGACCCCTGCCCCTCGCTGGTGCCCTGCTCAGAGTGTCCCCGTGCCCTGCCTGCACTGCCCCCTTTCCCCAAGCACCACTGTGTCTGCAAGTGGGGAGCACGGCCATCTGTGCAAAGGATCTTGGGGCCACCTGCCAGCTACGTGGGTAGGTCCTGAGACCCCCCAAAACACAGCCCCCAAGAGCATTGTCAAGGGAGTTGATGTTGTGGTGTAACCAGTTAATCCACCACTTGCAGTGCTGGCATCCCGTATGGGAGCGGCAGGTTGAGTCCACTCTGCTTACTTGCGATCCAGCGCCCTGCTAAGGGGTCTGGGCAGTGGAAGTGGGCCAAGTGCTTGGGCCTCTGCACCCACATGGGAGACTCAGGGTGGAGCTCCAGGCTCCTGGCTTCCACCTGGGCCAGCCCTGGCTGTTGTGACTATTTGGGGAGTGAACCAGTAGATGGAAGATTGTAAAAAGGAGCCCCACTGCCAAGCACTGATGCACTCTTCAGGGTACTATGTGGCCCAGACAGGTGTGGAGGAGGTCCAAGTCCAAGGCTGTGGCAGCTTAGAGGACAGGCTGAGACCTCCTGGCTCAGAGCTGGTGTTGAGTTGTGTTGTGAACCTTCCCTCTACGCCCTCAGCCAGAGCTCAGGTCGCTTGTGGCAATATCGCCCGCCCCCTCCTGGGGGCTCTCAGCTCACCTGCAGGGAAGCCGGCAGGCCTGGTGGGATGGTCCGCAGCTGGTTCCGGTCCAGCCTCAGGTAAAGCAGGCTGCGGAGAGGCCGGAAGGCCAAAGGGGAGATGTCCCCATCCCGCAGCTCATTGCCTTCTACCTCCAGCGTCAGCAGGTGGCTGAGCCCTGCGGGGTGAGTAGAGGGACACCTGGGCAGGCTGTGGAGCCCCTGGGCATAGCTACAGAACCCCACCTGCCGCTAGGGGCCGGGCCACCTTCCCTGGCTGGCGGCCCTCCTCCCAGTCTGCCCCAGCACCCAGTGGGTAGGCCCTCCCCGCGCCTGCACCTTTCCCCAGCCTCCCCCCTGCCCAGACGCGGCCCCTGGGCCTTGCCGCACCCTGGAAGCTGCCCTTCTGCAGACCCTCCAGCAGGTTGTCATTGAGCTTGAGCTCCAGCAGGGAGGCGGGCAGGGCGGGCACTGTGGACAGCAAGTTCCCATCAAGGTTCAACCGCTTCAGCCGTGTCAGGTTCTGGAGGGCAGGGAGAAGAGCCAGGCTGGGGTCTGGGGCGCCACCCGTGGCTGTCACTCAGGGCAGACCTTCCTAGGCATGACTGGGGCCTGCCCTGGCTAACAGGCACTCTGCTTGGTGGCATGGGGGACTCCCAGTTCTCATGGCAAATGGGCCTGTCTGTGGTCGCCGCTGGCTGCCACGTGGCTTGCAGCTGAGATCATGGGGAGCACTGCGCACCCTTGGGCCCCTCCCTGCTAGGTGCCCAGGCACACCTTGAAGGCATGGGGGTGCAGGCCGTGGCCATCCAGTTTGTTCTTGCTCAGGTCCAACCACTCCAGGTTCGGCAGCCCCCGGAACGCGTGGGCCGGGATCTTGGCAATTTCGTTCTCTGTACACACAGGCAGCAGCCACATTCATGCACCCGTTTCCCTTGCCCTCTGCCTCTCTGTACTCTCGCACACTCCTGGCTTTGGGGATAGCAGTGACACAGTCCTTGAAAGAGACAGCTCTTCTGACTGTCCCAGGTTGGGGCATCTCCTCCCTGCCACCCAGGACCTCTCAGAAGGTGGGCCGGCCTCAGTGCACGGTGATAGGAACTTCTAGAGGGTGACCAGGGCAGGGACTCAGGCACAGAGCCTCTTGCTTCTGTCACAGGGGAGAGGGGCCATTCACCTGCCAGGTAGAGTGTGGTCAGGCCCGGGTCGGTCAGGGCTGGCACGTGCTTCATCTTGACGTTGCGGCAGGCAATGGCCGCCTGGGCCAGGACGCATGAGGCTGGCAGGGAGGGCATGGTGTGCTCTGGGGTGCCTGGCTCTGCAGCGCCAGGCCCGTGTCCTCGCCTGCTTCCTGGCCTGCCCTGCCCACCGCCAGTGGCCTCTGTGGGGCTGCTGCTGCTGACCCAGCCTCTGCGGTGCTTCTTCTGGCGCTGCCAAGTCCCCAGCCCAGATTGGCGGGGAGCCCCTGGGGAAACAGATGCACAGACTGGCCTGGTCACGAGCAAAGAGTCAGGGGCATCCTGGAGAGGCCAGCCTGGGCTGGAACAGCAGCCCCTTCCCTTGGCACCGAGGGCCCAGGCCCACAGGGGGGCTCTGAGGCTGGGAACCAAGGCTTTGGAAGGTTCTCCTGCCCTGGACGTGAGCGCACGCAACTTGGGCTCCTGGAGACCTGGGCAAGGGCTGAGCAGCTAGTGTCACCGGTGCGATTGGTGGCCTCGGGCCACTTTGCACACTCATGTGTGCCCCTCCAGCCCCCAGCAGCCCTCCTGTGAGCTGGCCCAGCCAGTCCTCACCTTTCGGGGGCCTCCTGGCCTTCAGGCCTCTTCGCCTGGCTTCCTGGCCCCCTGCCTTCCTGCTCTGGCCCTCCTCAGGAGCCACCACCCCCTCTTCCGCTCGAAGGCCCCTGCTGGCTGGCAAGGACACAAGCTTCTCAGTGCGAGGCTTCTCTGTCCCGGTCCCCAAGGTAGCCGTGGCCTGGGGCGAAGCTCGCTTGGGGCCCAGCCCCTTGTTCTGAAGCTGCTTCCGCTCCAGGGATGCTGGGGGCCGCTCTTTCCTTAAAGCTGGCCTGGTAGGCGCCTTCTGGTGGGGCTCAGGGGACTCCGTGTGGGCTCCATGGGCTCCCTCCTCAGCAATGGGTGGATTCTGGCCGCTGTTCCCAGCGATGGGTTTCATGCGACCTGTAGAAGGAGCCAACAAGAGCAGGGGTGGCTGGGACCCCTACGTGACAAAGAGGCCTGACCCTTCCCCCGCAGTGGGGCATCCACGGAGGGCCAGCTCCCCCACCTCCCTCTTCATCCAGGCCTCCCTCTATTTGTCTCTCCCCTCCAGAGGGTGGGAGTTGAGAGGGGACAGATAGGCCTGGGGTGGAGCCACCAAACAGTGCCAACCGCTGGCCTATCAAGACCAAGGCCACATTTGTAGCTCGAGCCCTAGGGCTGTGAACCCTGCCCTGCTGACCACCCTCCCCCACTGCCTCATCGTGAGATTGTCCTTGACCCATCGTGAGCCCGTCTCTTTCCTTACCCCATTCCAGGGCCTGGGCACGAGGCTGCTCAGAGCGTGCACCCCAAGTGAGCAGCAGGTGGGCACCCTGGGGTCACTGACTTTCTCTCCCTGTGCCCCAGCCTGGGGGTGTTCTGGCAGCGGACAAGGCGCCCTCCTTCCTGTGGGGGGCCAGCTACTCACCGTCGGGGCACCCAGGCAGGCTGGGCAGCGGCTGCAGGGTGGGCAAGCCTGTGCATGTCGGTGGGGCTGCGGGCTCTCGGAGGCTCTGCCCTGGCTTGGCCAGCGCCCCTCCAGAGCAGCACCCCACCCAAAGGGCCAAGATGAGGACAAGCACTGTCCTCATGACCCCGGAGGGCAGGCCCCGCAGCCGGCAGAGGGCAGGGAGAGCTGGGAGAGGCGAAGCACTGGCCGCGGCAGGCGGGACGCACACTCCCAGAGCGACAGTGCTGTTGCCTGTGCTCGTGGGCCTGGCCCTGGTGCCGGGAGTCTCCCTGGACCCTCTCCTGGCGGGGGGGGGGGGGTCCCCGGCCTGCCAAGCAAGCGCCTCCCCAGGCCTTTCTTTGGCTTCCCGCAGCGTGCCCTGCTCCCACCCGAGCAGAGAAGTGCCGAGTTCCTTTCCTGGCCCTGAGTGCTCTTGCTCTTTCCTGTAAAGCCCGCATTGATTCGCCACTGGCCAGCGCCCAGTGGCCCCCGTGAATGGCCATCTGTCTCCACACACAGTGGGCCTGTGGGCCACCACGGAGCAGGCGCTCACCACAGGCTGCCAGCTCCTACCTCCAAGGCCGTGAAAGGAGAGGGGCGGGGGCCTCCTGGGGGTCCAGGACAGGGGGCAGGTGCCAGAGCCAATGGGCAATGGTGGGGCCGGCCCCAGTGGAACCTGCCAAGCCTGGGAACCAGTGCCGAGGCCTTTCCATTCCAGAGGAAATGGGGCACACGGCAGAGCAGGGGCAGGGAGCACAACCCCTCGACCCTTCCACCCCTACAAGCTGGGCGGGGGCCTGCCTCGGGCTGGGGCTGGCTCTTGCTTCTTCTACCGGCTCTCTGCCTGCCTCTGCGGGCCTCCATGTTCTGCTCCTGTGTGTGTCTGGTGGTGGTGGCGTTGGGGGGGGGGGGGAGGCAGCTTGGATGTCCTGTGGCTGTCCCCACCACATTGGCACGCTGGCCATCTCAGAGGTCTCCCCAGACTTCTTGGCTAAGAGTCCAAGCACCACTGTGGTCAGGCCATCCCCAGATGCCCCTGGGCCTCCCACACGCACACCTTCTGGGACCCCTGTGTGTCAGCATAGCCTGAGGCTGAGCTCCAAAGAAGAGGCTGCCCTGGGGGGGGGGGGCAGAGAACCAGGGCAGAGCAAGTGGTAAAAAAAACACATTGGGATATCCAGACACAGGTCACCGAGTCCATCGCAGAGGGTTGCTGGCAGCCCCTGCCCCAGCGACTGGGCCCCTGCACCAACCAGGCTGCCCCTGCAGCCTTGGCCCCCAAACCTGGCTGAGGGCAGGCAGAAGGGGGCGGGGGGCTGGCAGGGAGGACTGAGCTCACCGCAGGGCTTGGTTCCTGGGGCCAGCATTGAGGAAGGTTTTCCTACAGCTCTGTCCAGCGTTGACTTATGTTTGGAAGCAGTCTGAGAAAATGAGTTAACTGTGGGCAAGACTTAAGGGGGGGGCGGTGTGGTGGTGTTGGTGGTGGTGGTGAGGGGATGTGGCAGGGGAGGGGCCATGGCCTGGAAGGGCCAGCAGCAAGGACGAAGCAGCCTGGCCATGGCCACGGGGCGTGGGGGCGGGTTCCGATGGGAGGCGACAGGTCTGCGTGCCGGGTGTGATGAATGGACACAGAGGTCACTGTCCTCAGAAGCCAGTGTGGGACCCCCATCACCCCTCTGCCCACCCCGCCTGGCAAGGTTCTGGCTTATGGCCTGAATTTGGGAGCATGCCACACCCCCCCCCCCAACACACACCACAGACAGGGACAGGACAGAGACAGGGACTGTCTGGGGAGCGAGCAAACGCCTTGGGAGCCAGTGATCAGGCCACTGTCTGCCTATGCACCCTGTGGGTGACGCAGGATGGCCTGAGCCCAGCATTCTGCCCTGGGTGGGGGGCACTGCTGGAGCTGGGGGCGGGGCATGTAGACACGGCGATGCAGAGGCTCGGTGTGTTGGCCCGGGGTCCTGGCCATTTTACAGAGAAAGAACAAGTCACCAGGCAGAGGCCAGGCTTCCTGCATCGGAGTGGGCCTGGCCCCTGGAGGCAGACTGCATGTGAGCCCTGGTTCTGCCCCTCCCCCTGTGTGGGGATGGATTCTGGAATCCTGGCCCCCTACCCATTTCCCCTGTTCGTGCGGCGCTCCCCAGGCGCTGACTAAACATCCTGCCATCTGGTTCCTATTAGCTGGCTGGGGGTGGGGGAGCATGCTCCCAGGTTTCTCTGGCACAACCAGCCTGGAGGGGGGAGGCACCCACTCCTACCCACCTAGGCAGGAAGGGGCGAGGCCTCGGCGCTCTCGCTTCCCCAGCTCCCTCGCAGTCCTGACCTCTCTTCCCTTCCCTGGGTGGGCCTCTGGGGAGTGGCACTCTTGCCACCTATTCTGTCCAGTCTCAGGGCACTCAGCTACCATGGGGACCTTAAAGAAACCCCAGAGAGCAGAGCCAGCCTGTGTGTGCGTGTCGGGGGGGGGTCTCAGCAGAACCAGAGGTTCCCAGCAAGTTTCTGCCTCACCCCCTTCACCCCTCCCCCATTCCTGAGCTCACTGTGGACTTGAGTTGAGACAGGCGGGGCCTCAGGCCAACACTAATCCTGAGCCCGGTGTCTGGGATTTTCCAGGAACCAGGGATGTAGCCTGGGGGTTGCTGGAAAGAGCTTTGGGCTCCCAGCTGTGCTGTGGACTGACGACTGGACATGTGATCTGAGGAGCAAGCCTCCCTGCCCAGTGCCTTAGTCTCCCTATCTCAATATGGTGGTGGTCTCCTGAGAAAGTTCTAGAATCTGAGAGTTGGCAGGAACCATCAGAAGCTGCAGATGATCAAGGTCACTTCTAGCTGCCCATTGTCAAGATTCTTTTTTTTTCTTTAAAGATTTTATTTACTTATTGGGGAGTCATAGTTACAGATAGAGACATGGGGAGACAGAGAAGTCTTCCAACTGCTGGTTCACTCCCCAAATGCTTGCAACAGCTGGAGTTGGGCCAATACAAAGACAAGAGCCAGGAGCTTCTTCCAGGTCTCCCATGTGAGTGTGCAGGGGTCCAAGCACTTGGGCCATCCTCTACTGACTTCCCAGGCCATCAGCAGGGAGCTGGATCAGAAGTGGAGTAGCCAGGACTTGAACCAGGGCCCATATGGTATGCGGGTGCCGCAGGCGAACGAGTAACCTACAATGCTACAGTGCCGGCCCCCAGTGCCAAGATTCTAAGAGCAAGGAAGGGACTCCTGCTCCTTCTTCCCTCCCCTTTCCCTTCCACGTAGCGAACTCCCCACAGATGAGTTCACTCATATGTCCCTGAGTTGGAACTTCCACCAGCAGTGGCGAGGACGCCAACACGGCGCTCATTGTCCCTCAAGGCTCCTTAGATCTCCACAGCTGAGAGCTCGCCTCTCATTAGGGGAGGATCAGAAGACAGTCTTTGCTCAGTGAACAGCCCCAAGCCCCTGCTCGCAGGAGCACAGGCCCATGGGAAGAAAGGGGCTGGCCATGGTGACTGCAGGAAGGGGCACTTTGGACAGGCAAGGGCCAGGCGAAGGCGCGATTGAAAAGCCCAAGAAGGAGCCCCCCAAAAGGAAGCAGGCGGCCGGCTTGAGTGAGGGCACAGAAGGGCAGTGGGCTTTCTCTTTGCCCTTGAAGGGAAGAAGGGGCCACTGAGCACAAGGAGGGGCAGAATCACACGACCTGACTTACAAAAGGGTCCCCCAGGCTGCTGGGGGTGCAGTGACGTATTGAGTGCCTGAAGGAAGGTGGGAGGCAGCTGAATCCCCCCAGGGTAGAAGTGCTAGTGATTGGATTGGCCGAAGCTGCAGCTGTGGGAAGTGGGTGGAGTCAGGACCGTGTGGGCGGAGCCAGCCAACCTCACATCTGACAGCTAGGCAGCTAGACTGGGAGGTTGGTTCTTAAGATAGCCAAGCTGACGTCTAGCAGGCAGTTCCATGTATGTCCCTGGGGCTCGGGGCCAAGGGCTGTCATTTGCCAAGTGCATGGCGTGCCCACTGCATGCCAGCCCTCCTGCTAGGGGCCAGGGCACAGTAGTTGTTTGATAGCCAAAGACACACCCTTAGCGTGGGCCCTGGGGAAAGGGAATAGGCTCATTCTGGAGCGTTTCACATCTTGTCTGAGTGACATGGGCACCAGTGTGAGTGTGTGTGTGTGTGTGTGTGTGTGTGTTGGGCCTACTCACGTCTCCTTGGGCAAGAACCTCTGTCCATGCGGCTACCTTGGATGGCGTTAAAGGTACAAGGGCCTTTGCATCCTTGAAGCTGTGAGGAGGAACGGGCAGACTTTCCCTGCCCTCTTCCTGTTGCCAGCAGCCCTTCCCTAGAGGAAACTCATCATGTTTTAATGCCATCGAAACCTCAAAGGATCTGGTCCCAATTAAATGACTTTTCTTGCAGATGCTTTTGCGAGCACTAAAGACATGAGCCGATTCAGACTCATTCTTCCTGCTTCCTTGCCTCAGACCTGGAGAGAGAGAGAGAGAGAGAGAGAGAGAGAGAGACTGACTCCTAGCAGGATGGCGACGGCTGGGGATAAGGAGAGTGAGGAGCATTCATTTCCCAGTAGAGGATCCCCAGATCTCCAGCTGCTGGGCTCCCCCAGACTCTAAGTTGCTGGAGTGTTGGGCTGCCGGTGTCCCTAGGGAGGCCGCCAGAGGGAGGCTGACTGGAAAGGACCTTGGAGATTCCGAGTTGGCCCATGTGGCTGGGGAGAACTGAGACCACGGTTGGGATGGGGACTTGGGGAGGGGGACACTTTGCCATCTTCTTCCCACATCTGAAATCCGTCTCTTCCTGCCAATAACGTGGACCCCGTCTGCCGCCCTTGAAAGCTGTCCCTGTCCTGCCCCTTTAGCTGGACAGACGCTGGGGCTCAGGCTCCGCTCAGGCGAGAAGGCGAGGGTGAACGCCCCCTCCCCCGTCCGAGCGGGCACGTTCATGTTCCAGTCCTGGCGCCCGCGTCTCCAGCTCCAGACGCATGTGACTCAGCCCCGCCGGCCTTGCCAAGCCGTCTAGACCCGAGCGTCTCCCCGCGGAGGGGGCGATCCCGCCCGCCGTTTCCTCTGCTGCTGGCCACGCCGGCTGAGTCCCGCGCACGTGCAGGGGCGCGCGCACGCTCCCGCCACGCCTGCTCGGCGACCTGCGCATCCCCCTGGACCACGAGAACCAGCCCTGCGCAGGCATGGGAGCGTGAGCGAGGAACTAAGATGCCCGCCTATCCTCTCTATTTATGGGAGCTGAGGCAAGGAGACCAATGAAGACTGCAGCCAAGCTTCCTTGAGGTGCACTCTCCTGGGGACACCCCAGACACACAGCCAGGCTCTGGCCACTCCCGCTCCCCCACCCCCAACACAGGACACACACTGCAGACCCTTTTGAGCCCTAGGTGTGGGCTGGGATCCCAGGAGCTTGTGGCCCGAGAGGCAGGTGACAGCAGCATCCCCTGGGTTTTAAGGGCCTTTCAATGGCAGGAGGTGAGTGTAGGGCTCCCAGTGGGGAACAACCCCTGCTTTGCGTCACCATGGCCCTTGCCCCAGCATGGGAGTGACAGGAAGAGGCGATCAAAGTCCCCTGGCAGCCTCTCCATCCTCTTGTGCCAGTAGCTTCCCAAGGGGGACCCAGAGGTCCAGAATGAGAACATTCTGCAGTTGACAGTCTTCCCTCAATTCCTAGAATGACAGCGGTGGCCATGCAGAGCCAAGATCAGAGAGCCCTGGACTCCCCCAAGGCTGCAGACACAGCAGACCCCTGTCTGTAAGGCCCCTGACGGCGGCTCTCACGTCCTGTGGGCTTAGAGGCATCAGAGACATGTGCTGGGCCAGGGCACAGGAATGAATGATGGGCACTGGAGGGAAATCGGTGTCATTCCCATTTGAGGAACTCTTTTCCAAAGTTGGGGGCTGCTGAAGCCTTGTGGGTCTTTCTCATCTCGTCTGCACGCAACTCTCTGCCCACCTGCATGAAGACTGGGGTCCTGGCTGGCACAGATGGCATGGCCTGGCTGCAAGACCTGGGCACCACTAGCTCTGCGTGGCAGGAGCAGAGCACTCCGTGCAGCAGGCGGAGGAGGAACATGGGGAGGAGCAGGGGAGGGGGAAGGGAAGGAGGGAGAGGGCAGGAGGCAGTGGCAGCTCCCATCCGGGCTGTGTCTCACCTGGAGAGAGGCCCTACTGAGACCATCCTCATTACTCTGTCTCATTTCTCCCCCAAAGCCAATGGCAGGTCCTCCCCTGAAATTTCTCTCTCTCTCCCTCTCCCTCTCCCTCTCTCTCCCTCTTTCTCTCTCTGTCTCTCTCCCTCTGAGTCTTCATTTGGCACTTACCACCCTTATTGGGAACTCTGGCATGGGGCTGAGGGAGGAGGGAGACTCAATCCTGTGAAGGTTTCCAGGTTCATTGTCACTTGGCCTGGTGCCCTCCACAGCTCCCCTGGACAGCCCAGTGCTCCAGAGCTGGAGGCCGATTCGGTGACCCCCAAGTCCTGGGCCATATATTTCTGTACCCATGGCAGAAACGGAGGCGTCGCACAGGCTCTCATTTTCCAATGCGTTTGCCAAGCACTGACACATGGCTAAGGCCCTGCCGGGCAGCTCGAGTCGGAGCCTCCCCCGCTCCCCGTCCCATGCTCGGGAGGTCGACTCTTGCTACGTGTTACATCCACGTCTGTCCAGGACCCCGCAGCTTGCCCTGCCTCACTCCAGGTCAGTGGGTCCTCGAGCCTCATTTTCAGTCCCTGCTGCACTTAGACCTCCCTCACAGGACCCTGGGTCTCTGGGAAGGAATGCCGCTTAGAGATCTGCCCACTCCTCCCTCCAGGGCTCTCTGCATCTCTACCTGCATCCCTGGGCTCGCACACCTCCCAAGACAGGCAGCTCCCTCCCCCTCCAGGCTGTCAGCTGATGTTTAGACAGTGCTCCCTGGTAGAAGAGCTTCTGTGAGCTTGGTTCCATCTTTCCAGAAGTTTCTACCACTGGGCCTCTTGTCCTTTCTTTCCCTGAGAGATCCAGCAGTCTCCAGTCTTTCCAGTGGGGGAGGCAGGAGGATTTGGGGTAATGTGGTCAGGGTGCGGCAGCCATCCTCATGAGCTGGGGGCTGGCTTGCAGGCCCCTCATCCATGAGCATGGCCTCTAAGAGCTCGCGAGATGGTGTCCTCCGGCCAAGGCCCTGCCGATGCTGCCACGTCCCACCCTGTCCCCTTGACAGAGTTGCTGACTTGGGGAAAGGCCTGCTTAGTGGACTGGCTCCATGGAAATGGGTGGAGAAGGGGAATTTTCTTCCAGAATACACAGGGGCTGGTCTCTTCTTGATCCTCAGGAGCAAAGGATATAGGGAGGGTGGCGGGGGTGGGGGCTGCCATACTGCCATGGTTGGTCCCGCCAAATTCCCCAGTCCTAGGAAAGAGCCACAGACAAACCCACAAGAATTTGAACGTCTGGGCTGGGGCTATGATCGAAATGAAATTTTCTAAAAAGAAAGAAAAATCAAAACAGAAAAAAAGGAACAAAATTTTTAAAAAAGCAACCCAAAGTCCTTTCTCAGTTTCCAGAAGGGCCCAAGGCAGCAGCCTTTTGTGGGGTGGAAAGAGCCCTGAAGGCGCTTTGCAGGTTTCCGGGCGGTGGGCTGGGGCTGCTGTGCCTTGTCTCCCCGGGTCCCTTTAGCTCCAGTTTAGAGGCTCCATGTCCTTCAAACAGCCTGAAATTCCAGAACTTTCCGTCAGGATCAGACCCTGCCCAAGGCCAGCGGGGCCTGTGGCAGGGCCTCCCACGGCCAGGCTGAGGTCCCCTCCAGGTAGTCCCTGGCTCCTGCCCAGTCCGTCCTCCCAAGACTTGCCTCCTGACGCCGCCCTGCAGGAGATGGCAGGGTGGGCCACGGAGGAGGGCCGGCTCCAGGCTGCTGGCACCAGCCACCTTCTAGCTCCTTCCTGTCTTGTGCAGTCAGCAGGTCTCAGGGTTGGGGGCATTCCTTGAGCTGGGGACTTTGCAGATCTCAGGAACGGACGACTGACAAACCCATTCCAGACTCACTTTGTTTCAGGGCTCCGAGAGATACCACAAAACGCTGTCGTAGCGGGAAGGAGCTGCGGTGAGCCGAAGAAGCAGGGCCGGGAAGAACCATGCAGCAGCCATTTTCACGGCGCTTTTTGTAAGCATTTGGTAGGATTTGTTACCTCACGTCATGCTCAACAGCAATCCAGGGAGTTAGGTGCTCTCACTGTCTCCATTAGCGGAAGGCACGGAGGCACAGACAGGTTTGCTTACCCATCCGAAGTCACACAGCTATGAGTAGTGAGGTTGGGCTTGAAGTCAATAAACTTCTAACTATATAGCAGGAGCGTGAGAAACACAAGATGAACCCCTCGGTGGCAGATGGATTGCTCAAGTCCCAGTTCCATTCTGCACACAAGGATTCCCTTCGCCCTTACAGGGACCGTGCCCCGCCCCGCCGCCGACAGCGGCCAGGGAGAACCCGAGCAAGGCGGGAGCGCCCCCTGCCGGAGGAGCCTCGCCTCTACATGTCTTAGTTCCTGGCTGCCTGTAGGGACCGCCGCCAGCTGGGCCCGCGACCGAGTGAGCTCCTGCTAGATCCACCCCGCCCGCCTCCTGTCCCGCCCTCACCGCTGTGCTCAGTCTCCCGGGTGGTGCAGAGCCCGGCGCGCGCGGCCTCCGGAGAAGACGCGGCCCAATGGGAAGGCTTGGCGGGGAGAGGTGGGCCACAGCACGGAGATTCTGCTCCCGCCCCAAACGAGTGCCGGCCTGGCGCGTGATTGGCAACCAGGCCGGCCAGTGAGGCGGAACTGTGGGCGGGGCGCGGGGCAGAGCGCGAAACATGGCGGGGCAGGGATCTTGCGTCGGCGGCGTCGGCGACTGCTACCAGGAGAACGAAGACAGCGTGTTCAAAGCGGCCGTGGAGGTGTTCCAGAAGCTTAAGGTGCCTCAGGCCTAGGGAGCCACTCCCGGGCGTCCTGGGCAGTGCCCTGTCCGAAGCCCGGACGCGATCGCTGTGGAGGTCGGCGGCGCCATGCAGCTGCAGTACCAGTCACGGTCGTGCCCTGCACGTTCCTGCCTTTACGGCTTGTGCCTGGTAGTTGGGGCCAGCGTCATGCACCGAACTCTGCGAGACCCAGGCTGGGCGCTCGGGGCGGGTACAGAGATGGAAGACGCAGACCCTGGCCTCAAGGAGCTTGGGAGACCTGGGCGGTGGGATAGATGGGCGCCAGGTGGGACCTGGGCGCTAGGCTGGGTGTCAGGAGCCACAGTGAGGAACCCGGGACCTACAGGTCAGGGAGCTGTGCCGGGTCCACTCGGCTGCTAGCGACTCCCCGGCCCCGCCTCATCCCTCCTGTTGCTGCCAGCTGTGGCCGGGAGCTGAAGCTTGAAAGCGCACACGGAGGCGTTGCTCCTAGTCCTGCTGTCACCAGGGATCCGAGGGGCGACTCTAAGGCGGCGGGCTCTAGGAGACTGGAACTCCTGGCAAAGCACAGAGAGAGCACGGGGCGGGAGATGGGTGTGCAGGAAGGGGTCCTGAGCGCCGCTCCACCGTGGTGTGATGGTGGCTTCCAAAAGCTTGTGACTTTGCTTTTCTTTGCCCAGGACCTCAAATGCTCCTTTCTGGAGGGCCTGTACATCACAGAACCAAAGACGATTCAGGAACTGCTGTGCAACCCCTCCAAGTACCGCTTGGAGATTCTGGAATGGATGTGCATACGGTAATGCCCAGGTTTCTTCTTTTTCCTGTAGGTGCCCGGGGCAGCTCCCAGCCCACCCTGGCAGCATGGGGCTTCTCCTCCCACAGGGCTGCACACGCTGCCGCAGCAGCCCGGTGCATAAGAAGTGCTGGCCCTGCGGGTGTGCTCAGACTAGGGGTGAAGTGTCCCCTCGCTGGGGTGCTCAGCTGGACTTCTGAGAGGCTTGGGTGGAGAAGGTCTGTGCCAACCCCACTGGGAGTCACTGGCTCTCACGGTGTTTGGTGTGGTCCTCAGAGACCTCACTGGAATGCCCGTGGTCTATTGATATTGCAGTCTTTTTTAAAAATGATTTATTTATTTATTTGAAAGTCAGAGTTACACACAGAGAGAAGGAGAGGCAGAGGCAGAGAGAGAGAAAGAGAGAGAGGTCTTCCATCCACTGGTTCATTCCCCAGTTAGCCACAACAGCTGGAGCTGGGCTGATCCGAAGCCAGGAGCCAGGAGCTTCTTCCTGGTCTCCCATGCAGGTGCAGGGGCCCAAGCACTTGGACCATCTTCCAGTGCTTTCCCAGGCCACAGCAGAGAGCTGGATCAGAAGTGGAGCAGCCAGGACTCGAACCGGCGCTAATATGGGATGCTGGCACTGCAGGCAGTGGCTTTACCTGCTACACCACAGTGCCAGCCCCAGTATTGCAGTTTTTTGTGTCCTGCCAACCCTTGGTGTTGAGAGAGGGGCCTGAGCAGAAGCCCGATATTTGAACCTCTGCCTCCCTCTCACCTTCTAGGCCTTTCCTTAGGCCTCAGTGTACCACTGCTTCATAAGCCTTTTCTCTCATTGAGCTTGTTCTGCCTCCTGGAAAACACTGTTCAGGTGTCTACATGTTCTACATCACTCCTACACAGCCTTCGAATACCCAGAGCTCACATACCAATTCGTTTTTTTTTAAATATTTTTATTTATTTATTTATTTGTTTGAATGGCAGAGAGAGAGAGAGAGAGGTCTTCCATCCAATGGTTCACTCCCCAGATGGCTGCAACAGCTGGAGCTGAACTGATCTGAAGCCAGGAGCCAGGAGCTTCTTCTGGGTCTCCCACGTGGGTGCAGGGGCTCAAGGACTTGGGCAGTCTTCCACTGCCTTCCCAGGCCATAGCAGAGAGCTGGATCAGAAGAGGAGCAGCCGGGACTAGAACCAGCACTCTTATGGGATGCTGCTGCTGCAGGCGGCTGCTTTACCCACTATGCCACAGCGCTGGCCCTGTCACGTTTCATTTTAAACTACCTCCTGTTCACAGAGTGAAACGCCTTCCTGCTCTCTCCATGGGCACCCAGAACTGTGTGAGCTGTAGTGCCTGCCACAGTCCTCAGCCGGTCGGTGCTCATTTGGCCCGCTGCCCGGTCTGGCTCGACAGAGCGTGCACCACTGGGAGGTGCTCCTGGCTGCAGTGGCCCTCAAGGGGCTGGGGCTTTAGCAGGTGCAGGTCCTGGTATTGGGCTGGGAGGGGGTGGCATTTGATTTCAGAGGAAATGATAGGTGCTTGTTTGGACAGGAGCAGGAACTCCAGGTGTGTGTGTGTGTTGGGGGGCTGGCAGTGGTGGCCCAAGTGGCAGCTTGGGGCAGCCCACCTGGGGCCTTACAAGACACGTGAAGGCCTTTGAACTTTATGCCCTGTGCAGGGCAAGCATAGGAGCAGAGGAGTGACTTCCTGAAATCAGCAATTTGGCGAGGTGACTCAGGGGCTCTGTGACAGATGGATTTGGAGGGCAGAGGCTGGAGGCAGGAGACCAGTAGCCCAGGCAAAGATGGCAGGAACCTGGTTCAGTGTGGCAGATGGCTTCTGTGACAGCCACTGCCGGTCCTGGAGGGACCAGTGCCTGCTCCAGGAACCTGGGAAGAGAGACAGTGGTGGGCAGTGCCTGGCCAACTGGGAGGGTCCTGAGCAAGGTCCCAGGATGAGGCCCAGATTTGTTGGGCTCAGGCAGAAGCTGGGGGCCGGCTGGGAGCCAGGGTGCTCTGTTGGCTGGAGAAGGGTGGATAGGTAGCAGGCGAAGGCTGTGGCCCCAGATGCTTCTAGTACTTCTCTGTGTACCAGAAACCAACACCTTTGAAGAAGTAGCCCGGGAACATAGCACACCGTGGCACGTGGCAACAGTGTCTTAGGCCTTTGAAGGGTCCTCAGGGGACAGCTTGCAGGTCTCCTGCACATTTCACGTTTCCTGACTTTGCACTTGGCTGCGTGCTGTCTTCCCCTACTCAGGGCTGCCTTTTATACCTTATCCCGGTGGAACCTGGAACGTGTACCTGGCAGTGGCCGAGGGCTCAGTGTGTGCTGCGCATTGGCCCTCATTGTGGGGTGGGCCCGAGCCCTGCGGACCCCTGGGTTGCCACGGTCCAGGCTTCATGGGGTTTCTTTGGTGCTTTCAAGGTCTTGAGCGCTGTTGGTTTCGGCTCTGCTCCCTGCTGTGAGATGAACTTCAGTGACAGCCCGTCTTCTTCCTGTCCCTGTGTGTGTGTGGGGTGTCTTAAGGAGGCACGAAGGCAGGTGATGCGGCCAAGGCAGCTGGGTCCAGGCTGCTTCCCTCCTGCAGTCCTGGGCAAGTGTGGCTCTGGAGTGGGGCAGTGAGTCCACTCTGTGGGCAGCCAGTGTGCACCTCCCCACCATGCTGGATTGGCAGGCCCCTAGTAGGTGGAGGCCAGCCTCCGTAGCCCTGTGGACAGAGCCTCTCTCTGGACACTGGGGGCCTGCCATGGTGGCTCCCTAGCGAGGGCAGCCTCAGCAGCCGATCCTGGGGCCTTGCCACTGTGCTGGGCGTGAGCTTGGGACTGAGACCTGGCGGAAGGCTGGAGTTGTGTCATTTGCCATCTTTTTTTTTTTTTTTTAACATTTATTTATTTATTTGAGAGACAGAGTTACAGAGAGAAGGAGAGACAGAGCGAAAGGTTTTCAATCCTCTGGTTCACTCTCCAGATGGCTGCAATGGCTGGAGACAGGCTGATCCGAAGCCAGGAGCCAGGAGCTTCTTCTGGGTCTCCCACGTGGGTGCAGGGGCCCAAGGACTTGGGCCATCTTCCACTGCTTTCCTGGGCCATTAGCAGAGAGCTGGATTGGAAGAGGAGCAGCTGGGGCAGGAGCTGGTGCCCGTATGGGATGCCGGTGCTTCAGGCCAGGGCGTTAACCCACTGCACCACAGCGCCGGCTCTGGATATCCGCTTAGCAAGATTTTTCCACCCAGGGCCAATCGATGTTGGTGGTGAGGCTGGGTGCCAGTAGAACTTTATTTACGGAAATGGTCCTGCTTGTGAGCCGACGTCTGCTTTAAATTGTGGATTAGGCTCCTGCCCTCTCTGGAAAGAACAAAGCATCGGCATTTACTGATGTAGAGGCAACGGTCGCTCATTCATTCCACTCTCGCTGGCTGTGGCACAGAGATCTATTAGGCCCTGGAAGTGCATGGCAGGAAGCCAGCTCCTGGCATCACCAGCCCAAAGTCTGGGACAGAGGGACCTCAAGGTGGCTGCGGTCTTTCTTCCAGCGCTGGGGGCTGGGGGGGGCACCCTGCAGAGTGGCCTGTGCCACCCGTCCAAGGATGAGCTCAGAGGAATGGAGGAATGGGCCCTTTCTGCTGCGCACTTGCTGCCCTGTCTTTTGTACTGTGAGAATTATTTTCAGAGTTCAAATTCCCATTTCCCAGGTGAGCTTTCTGAAGTATCTTTTATCTGGTAATTGATAGAGATGCACTTCCCATGGCGTAGAGTTTACCAAGTTAAAAGAGTTCAGTGGCGTGTGGCATGGGCACAGGGTCGGCGGGGGGCTCCCTGGCTTTCCCGGGCCTGACTGCCTGCGCTGTTTGCCCGCAGAGCCTGCCCCTCCTTGCAGGAAAAGTTCAGCTCACTGAAGGCGGCCCCGCCGGAGCTGAAGATCCGAGGTAGGTCTCGCTGTGGGATTTGCTGGTAAGCTCTGGTTCTGGACTTGTAGTGCGTTGTCCGTTGGACTGATGTATTGTTCTAGCGGAGTGGGGAGCCTTTTTTTGCCCAGAGCCAGTTGGACATTTTTGTTTGTTTTTAAAGATTTATTTTATATACTTGAAAGGCAGAGTTACAGAGCGAGAGAGGGAGAGACAGAATCTTCCACCCTTTGGTTCACTCCCCAAATGGCCACAACAGCCAGGGCTGGGCCAGGCAGAAAGCAAGAGCCAGGAGCTTCATCCACGTGGTTTCAGGGGCCCAAGTACCTGGGCCATCTTCCCCTGCTTTTCCAGGCACATTAGCTGGGAGTTGGATGGGAAGTGGAGCTGCCAGGACTTGAATTGGTGCCCATATGGGATGCCGACGCTGCAGACTGTGGCTTAACCTACTGTGCCACAGTGCCAGCCCCACTTGGATATTTATAACATCACTTGTGGGCCATACAAAATTATCAACTTAAAAATGAGCCTTGTGGATGTTGGTAGAACTTTCTAGACTCAGGATGAACATGTGTTTGTTCTAACCACTCCAAGGTAGGTAAAGCGGACCCTGGAACTGCTGTCCGCACCAGGCGGCATTGCCAGATTGGTGATCTAGAGACAGCTGTCCATGCACCTGGGAAGCGCCAGGAGAATGTGATGTTGTGTCTTGGAGCTGTTGTGTCTGGCACAGTCCTACTGATGGGCCGCCCAGAGGCTGACGCCCAGGCACACACACTGACCCTAGCCCTCAGGATGATCATGGCCACAGCCTTTCCCACTCCCAGCCTTGTCTCGCTCATCAGAGTGTGCTGGGTGTCAGGCCTGTCAAAGAGTGGAAGCAGGAAAACCAGGACAAGTAGGGGGTTAGGATTCTTCTTGAATTCATCTGACAAGTATTGTTGTTTCAAGTTATAAATTCATTCAGTTTTTACTTATTTGAAAAGAGGGGGTAGGGGAAGAGAGATGGGTGTTCCATCTGATTGAGAGAGACAGAAGATCTTCCATCTGCTACTTCACTTCTCAAATGCCTGCAATAGGGACTGGGTCAGGCTGAAGGTGGGAGCCTCAAACTTTAGCCTGGTCTCCCAGGTGGGTGGCAGGGATCAAGTGCTGCCTCCCAGGGTAACACTAACTGGAAGCGGGGCTGGAAGTGGAGTTGGGACTTGAACCCAGGCATTCTGATACAGGATGTGGACATCCCAAGTGCGTCTTAACTCCTGCACCAAATGCCCACCCCCCTCTGACAAATGCCGAAGGAGCCCCTACTACAGTGCATGGCACTGTTTGAGGTGCTGGGGGCACAGTGGTAGATTTTGCAACCTTCATGGAGCTTGCATGGTAGCTGGGAGACACAGACAGTAAACCAAGAAGGCAGTATTGTGTCAGCATCATGTGGCCAGGGTGAGGGCTGAGTTCAGTGGGGATTGGAGGGTTACGGGAAGGGTGGTCCTGTTGACATCGAAGGCACAAAGAGGGGAAGCGAGCCGGCAGAGAGCAGGAGGAATACCGTTCAGGATAAGGGAACAGCAGGTGCAAAGAGCCTGCGGTATACCTGTGCCTGGCAGCTTTGAGGGAGGAGGAGCAGAGTGGAGAGCAAGGGGAAGGGAAGGGGAGGTCAGGCCAGGTCCTGTGGGACACAGAAGGGCATGGGCTTCTACTCCAAGGAAGGCTGTGGTCTGATGTAGGGCTGAACGGGCTCCCTGGGCACCCTGTGCGGAGAACAGGGCCATTGGGCAGAGGCAGGGAGAGCAGCGCAGGGCTCCTGCAGTGACTGATCCAGGTGCGAGATGGGGAGGGAGGGCTGCTGTGGGTAGATCCTGCGTTTGTAGTGACGGGAGGGCCAGCTGCACTTGCTGAGGGGAAGACAGGGGTCGGGGGACCTGAGGATTTGGGTTACGGCCTGGGGAGCACACCAGCCTCTGTGGAACGTGTGGCATCACCGCTCTGCTCCCTTCTTGCCGGAGCTTGCTAGAGCAGGTGCCTGCAGGGTTTTGCTTTCTGCTGAGGGGTGTGTGTGGGGGGGGTGGGGGGTGGAGTCAGGCCTGCCCAGGCTTTCTGGCTCTGAGTCCTGGCATTGTACTCTATGCAGATGGCCTGGGGCCCTGGAAGATGTGGCTAGGCATTGTCTGCCCTGGGCAAGGACTCAGGTTTCCCATCTGTGAAGTGGCACCAAGGCCCACCTTGTAGAATTGCTGGCAAGCTCATAGGAGGTGGTGGTATGAAAGGCCAGGCTGACAGATGCGGTGTTGCTTCCTGTTACTGCAGCCTCCCGAGGTCTCTCAGGGGTGGCACAGGGCAGGTCGTGGAGGTTCCCTGACCTCTGGTGGCCTCAGCAGCCAGGCTTAGAGACCCAGGCATTCAGCCCTGTTCCAGGCAAGGAGGCCCCCAGAGAGGGTAGTGCCTGGGAGCAGGTCACAGAGCCAGAGGCAGCGCTGGCACCCTGTGTGTTGTCCACGAACCCGCCTTGTCCGCTCTGTGTACAAGCACCGCCTTTGGGCTTCAGGGTCTGCCAGCGCCGTCACCTTGGCCGCCAGCGTGTACGAGCATTCTCCTGTGTTAGAGTGGGTGTCTGCGGTAACGGGGGTTTGTGCTTCCGCAGAGATGGTGAAGCTAGGCCATGAGCTCATGCTGTGTGCGCCAGACGACCAGGAGCTCCTGAAGGTAAGAAGGCCCTCGTCTGTCCCCGCCGCAGCTGTGCACGCTTCCTGCCCTGGCCGGGGCTCTGGGTGCTGCCCGCGTGGGGATGGGAGCGGAGCGGAGCAGAGCTGCCAGGGCCCATGGAGGAGGAGAGGAGGGTGGCTGTGGAGGTTGACGACGTCATACTACATGCCAGTAATTGTCACAGCCACCCTGGCAGGAGGTGTCTGGCTTAACCTCATTTCACATGAGGTGACAACTCACCCACGGTCACACGGTGGCAGAGCCCGGCCTCAAACGCAGGCTGCTGCCTCCCGAGGCCACGCACTTGCCCCCGCAGACTGCCTGCCCAAGAGCTTCTGCACAGCGGCTGCTACTCTACCCCAGCCCCCACCCCTAAAATCTCTTGAATGTTGATAGCTACTTGCACGTGGTGAATTCTGCTGCTGCCGCATGCGCACATGTGCTCACTTGTTGGCTGCATGGCCTGAGCGGAACCGCTGTGTGGCACGGGCACTCTCCGCTTACCTTGCTGAGCAGCCACGCAAGTGTCTCCCCTGGCGGCCGCACCACACGACCTCCTCAGCCACGCCGAAGGAGGCCTGCCGCTTCCCCGGGCCCTGCCAGCACTCCTGATGTCCCGGTTTCATTAGTGTGGCTGCGTCCGTCCCGGTGGGTGTAAGGCGGTGTCTTGCTGTGGCTTCAGTTTGCCTGCCCCTAGGGATTAGCAGTGTTGCTCGTGTTTTACGAGCTTCTTGGCCGCGTATCTGTCCTCTTTGGAGCAATGTCTGCACACGAGGTCTTTGCCACCTTTTAAATGGGATCACTTGACTTTCTGCTGTTGAGGTCTAAGAATTATTTATATATTCTGGATTCAAGTCACATCTTATATTTGATTTATAGTATTTTTATCCCCATGCTGTGTATTGTCTTGCCTTTTTCAATGTGTCCTCTGGGGTAAAAGCATTGTACTTTTGATGAAGTCTGTCTGATCTACTTTTTTCTTTGGTTGGTTGTGCTTTGGCTGTATCTAAGAATCCATTGCCAAATCCAAGGTACTGAAGATTTATACTTGTGTTTTCTTCTGTTTAGGCCTTTGATCGATTTTGTGTTAGTTTTCTTTTTAAGATTTTTTTTTTTAATTTGAAACGTGAGTTAGAGAAAGAGAGATAGAGAGAACAGGAGATCTTCCACCTGTCGGTTCACTCCCCAAATGGCTGCAATGGCTGGGACTGTGCCAGACCGAAGCCAGGAGCCAGGAACTTCCTCTACATCTCCCATGTGGGTGCAGAGGCCCAAGGACCGTCTTCTGCTGCTTTCCCGGGCACATTAGCAGGGAGCTGGATCAGAAGTGGAGGCGAGAATTGATCCCAGCCACTCTGATATAGGCTGTGGATGCCCAAGCAGCATCTTAACGTGCTGCGCCACAATGCCTGCCCCTTAATTTCATTTTTATCTTGTTTATTTGTAGTTCTCCAGGTGTTTCGTGGCTTCCTTAGGGTTTTCTGTATGGAGCACTGGGACGCGTGCATGAGAGAGAGTTTTCTGTCTTCCTTGGCAACCTGGGAGCTTTTATTTGTTTGTTGTTAAGATTTTACTTATTTATTTGAAAGGTAAAGTTACAGACAGTGAGAGGGAGAGGGAGAGGGAGAGAGACAGAGGTCTTCCTTCCGTTGGTTCACTCCCCAGATGGCCACAATGGCTGGAGCTGCACCGATCCAAAGCCAGGAGCCAGGAGCTTCTTCTTGGTCTCCCACACGGGTGCAGGGCCCAAGGACCTGGGAGCTGCTGACTTCGCTTCCTGCCCACTTGCTCTGAGCAGGAGTGGTGGGAGATGCATCCTGTCTTGCTCCTGGTCTGAGCAAGTGCTTCCTACCGGTTTTTACCTTCGAGTGTGGTCTTAACTGCAGGATTTTGTGGATGCCTTTCTCAGGCTGAGTAAATTTCATGCTCTTCCTCCATTCTTGTTTTTTTTTTTATTTATTTATTTATTTATTTATTTTTATTTTTATTTTTTTTGAAAGTCAGTGAGAGAGAGAGAGAGAGAGAGAGAGGAAGAGATCTTTCTCCACTGGTTCACTTCTCAGATGGCTGCAACAACCAGGGCTGTTCCAGGCCGAAGCCAGGAGCCAGGAGTTTCTTCCAGGTCTCCCACGTGGGTGCAGGGGCCCAAGGACTTGGGCCATCTGCGGCTTTCCCAGGTGCATTAGCAGGGAGCTGGATCAGTAGTGCAGCAGCCAGGACTTGAGCTGGTGCCCATCTGGGACGCTGATGTTGCAGGTGGCAGTGTAAGCCGCTGTGCCACAGCACCGGCCCCCGTTCCGTGGGTTCAACCAGAACGTAGGATGGCTTCTGTCCGCTGCTTCCTTTGCAGCTTTTGAGATGATTGTGTGGGTCTGTGCTTCATGCGACAGTGTGCGCGTTTCCTCCTGGCATCTTTCATCGCCGTCGGAGGAGGTTGTGCCAGGCCCAGGTCCTCTGTGTGCATTCCCTCAGTTTCTCAGATCGGTGCGTTTGTGCCATTCGCTGACATCGGGAGCAGTCCCGCCATCATTTCTCCAAGCGTGTTTTTCAGCACCACGTGCTTTTCTCTTCTCCCTCCGGGCCTCCCGTGACACAGATACCACAGGGGCTCTCCACGTTTCCATCTTTTTTTCTCTGTTGCCTGTAAACAGCTTACACGCATGGCCTGAGGACATTTTATAGACTGTTCCTGCGCAGGCCTGCGTGAGGTCGGGCTGGGATTTTCCACTTGCTTCGTGTTGGTGTTCACAAACAGGGTTTCAGAGTTTCAGATTAGGGCTGCTTAACCTGTAGTCGTAATTTTCCACCCTGTCCCTGCATCATCGGGGAAGTGATGACGTGACATTGACATCTCTGCTCTATTTTCTCTTTTGCCTTTTGCTTCGAGAGCATTCCTGATTGCTTATTCAAGTGTTTGGATACTGGCTGCTTTAAAATCCTCGTGCGATCATTCCAGTGTTTGTGTGATCTGGTCCTTGGGGTCTCTTGCTTCGCTTTGCTCATGTGAGTTACTTTGGAGGTTTCTGCGGGGGCCCAGTCATTTTGGATTGCACCCGGGACATTCTGAGCATTGCTTTAACTCTGGGTCTTGCTAGGCTGCCTGCGTCCTCTCACGGATTTGGGGGTCACTTTCTCAAGCTCTTTCCCTCCGCTGCATCTTTGATACTTTCTAGTTCCTTGGGGTTCCCCTTTGCTGTTCCTCAACCAGCAACTACCCACTTCCATGACATGTCGCAGGGGTGGCGGGACAAAGCAGGAACAGTCTGGATGCCTGCACCTCACTGTCCCTGGCTGACGTCTCCGGAGCAAGCCAGGGATTCATCCCCAGTCTCTCTGAGCTTTGGCCTTGAGGTTGATTGAGTTCAGGTCGGGGTGCCTTCCATCCTTCCTGCCACAGGAACCTTTCCCTACTCTTAAGGCTTGTCACATTTTTTGGCTGTGCTAAAATCTACATAGTGCGAAATCTACCATTGCAATCATATTTAAGAGATTTCCCAGCAGGCCTTGAGGGTGCTCTACTCTTTTTTTAAACAGAAAAACAGTTGTGGTAAAATGCACATCCCATGACATGTACCATGGTAACCATGTTCACATGCATAGTCCAGTGGCGTTAAACACATTTACTTGGTTGCGTGGCCATTACCACCATCTACTTTCAGAACTTTCTCATCTTCCCAAAGTGCTGCTGTGCTCAGTTTTTAAGCCCTTTCAAAGCATGCGAGTCAGTGGCATTTGGCGCGTTCACAATACTGCAGAGCCCCCGCATGATGTTGTTTGGAAATCTGCTCATCACGCTGAAAAGAGACTGCCCTGCCCACAAAGCAGTCACTGCCTGCTCCCCACTGGCCCTGACCGCCACTGATTACGGCCTCTGTCTGTGTCGTGGAAATGGACCCAGGCCCTGTGCAGCGTTCGCAAGTTCCCTCCGGGTGGCCGTAGCACCTCTCACGCTCTCATTCCTTGCTGTGGACTACAACGAGCAAATGGATGCTGGCCCTTTGGAGCCCTGAATTGTAATTGCACACATCAGTGTTGGTTCTGGAGCTATTGTAACTTAAAAACCGCATATGTATGGGTTTCTTTGCCGTGTGCCCTGAAGAGGCCTAGAACAGTTACAGTGGCGACCACATTGAGCAAGGCAGCCACGCGAGACTCATGGTCACATCCGAGGGGCTCAGGAACCCACTAGTGCTAGAGACCCTCACTGGCCCAAAGCCACCAGCACGAGTGTAGCAAACACGGGGACTGCTTTAAAATTAAGAAAATGTCTGGAAGTTGTTTAGCTTGTAAGAGACTTGTGTTTCCAGGATCTCGTAAGAATTACAACTCAATAAGAAACAGACAAAACCCAATTCAGGAATGGGGGGGGGGTGGGAGAGGGGGTGGCGAGGGGGAGTGGCAGGCGTCTAGCCTAGCAGTTAACACACCTGCGTTCCACCTTGCAGTGCCTGCATTCAATGCCTGCAGGCCTCCCACACAGGGCACCTGGATTCTACCCCAGACTCCCAGCTTCAGCCAATCCAACCCAACCGTTGCAACCCCAGCTGTTGCAGGTACTTGGAGGCTAAACTAGCAAATTGGAGCTTTCGGATACATTTGGCTCACAAATAAATTAAAAAAAAAATTTAATGGGCAAAGAATCTGAAGAGACATTTTTCTAAAGATATGCAAATGGCCAGTCAGCTCAGAGGAACGTAGAAGAGCGCAGCTGCGTCTGGCTGCCGCTTAGAAGAGCAGCCGTGGAATAAGCACACGGCCACGCCGTTCCACTCCTGGGGACACAGGCAACAGAACTGAAAACGTGCGGCACACGGCCGGTCATAAGCTCTGACCGCAGCCTGCAAATGGAAAGAACCCAAATGCCCGTCATCTGGTGACCGGATCAGCAGTAATGGAACATGAACTTCAGGCGTGTGGTGTGGTGTGGTGTGGTGTGGTACAGGTTGTCCTTGTAGACACTGTGCCCAGTGAAGGAAGCCAGACACCAGAGGCCACGCAGCGTCTGAGCCCATTTATAGCGACCGCCTGGGAGAGGCAAATGCACAGAGACAGATTATGGCCGAGCTGGGGTGTCGGGAATAGCAAATGGCTGCTAATGGGGACGGTGCTTCTTTTAGGTGCGTCCTAACATCCCCTGAACAGCTCTGGAAAGACAGTGCCAGAGGAGAGAGTGTGCAAAGGTCCTGGGGGCGGGGAGCGTGGGTGTAGACCAGGCAGGGCTTTGGAGACTGGGGGAGGCCCCAGGGTGGCAGTGGCCACTTGCAGGGACAAGGGTGGTGGCTTCACGGGGCAGGCATTGCTTCCAGGAGACCTGCTGGCAGGCTGTAGCAGTGCCCCAGCACCCATGGCTGCTAGCCTGGGTGGTGGTGGTGTAGAAGGCAGGTGGAGTGACTGGACTGAACCCAGCGCATGGGATTTGCTGATGGGGAGGTTGGAGCGGGGAAGGGGGCTGGGGGTGGAGGCTTTGCACATTCGTTCTGCCGACCTTTACAGAGGGCTCCCTTGGCCACTGGGATGCGGCCTGCAGATGGGCTCGCTGACCAGGCCGTCTCCCCCTTCCCAGGCATTGGCGCTGTGGCAGGGGGCCGTTGGAGTTGGCTGAGCAAGGGATGGCAGCTGGAGGGTGTCTGGCGAAGGCCTTGTGAGGTCCGGAGTGACATTCAATGTTACATTTCTGTCTGAGCCATGTCCTGTCTAGACAGTGTCCTGTCCCCACCCCGGGGCTACCCTTGGGCAGATGAGGGGAGTGAGTCAACCGAAGGTAGCAAGGAGGTCTGGGAAGCCAGTGGCAGGCTGAGTTTGTGCAGTCGGAAGTTTCCAGAGGCACCGGTTGCGTTGACATGGGTGGCAGCTGGGAGCTAGGCGCGCCAGGACGCCAGGCAGCTGCAGCCATGAGACTCAGTGTCCACCGCCAGGGGGCGAGCTGCCAACCTCAGGGCGGAGTGTGCCCCTGCCCCCGGGTCTGCTCCTCACCCTTCAGTGTGACTGTGTGACCGCCACTCCCTGTCCGGGCTGCTCGGGTGGCCTGGAGCCTTCCGGACTGCCCTCTGGGCGCCTGCTGGGTTCTGTCTGGCTGTGCCCATCGGCTTCTGTATCGCCAGCCAAGAACAGGCCTTGTCTTGGAGGTGGCTCTTGGGAGCAGGCCACCATTGGGTCCTCGTGGGCTGTGTTCTGCCTTTGCGGGCCCTGCTGTGTGGCAAGCACACATCCCTGAGTGCTCCCTTGGTGCCGGGCACTTAGCAGAGTTGTCCCAGCATCGTGGCAGCCCCTCGGGGCCGGTAGCCTGCGTGGCCTAGCTCCCCGAGCTGCTCCTGGACTCTGTGGCTGCGGCCCTGGAGGCTGCTGGGCCCAGCCGTCGTTCCCAGCGGCCCAGCTGGGGCAGCATGTGCGGCGAGGCCTGTTTAGGTGTAGTCAGCCAGTGTGCGGTCTTCCCTGCCCAGGGCTGCGCCTGCCCCTGGAAGCAGCTGCACTTCATGGACCGGCTGCTCGACGTGATCCGCAGTCTGAGCGTCGGAGGCTCCACCTGCTCCAGGTAACGGTGGCCCGTGGATGGGCTCGTCTTAGTCCTGCATCTGCAGCAGTGCGGACTTGCTTTTCCCCTGTGGTGGCAGCAGCCACGTCACTGGTCCAGCATCCGGGGGTGCAAGCTGAGGTAGGATCCCTGCGCCCCCCGCCCCGGGGAGCTGGCTGGCCAGTCTGTGGGGCCAGCCACCATGTGAGCGAGGGGCAGCCGTGTCCTGTGGGTGCTGGCTTGCTGCCCACAGAGCTGGGCGGGCTGTCAAAAGGGGTGATAGAGGCCTCGAAAGTCAGGCTGGGCCCACAGGAGGAGAGTGAGTGCCCGGGCTGCTCGGAGCAGCCCCAGCGGGCGGAGGCGGGGCGGGCTGGGCTGGCCTGGCCTCGCTGCCTCTCCTTCGCCCGCTGGCTCTTCCGTGGGGGACGCAGGCTTGCCGGGCCAGCGCTGCGCCCCGTGACGGTGTGGCCGTGGCGCTGCCGTTGCAGCCTGCAGGAGCACTTGGAGGACACCAGGGAGAAGAACGAGGAGCTGCTGCAGGAGGTCTTCTCCAGCTCCCACCTGCAGGCGCTGCTGAGTCCCCGGAGGGACCCGTGGCCCCTGGACGTGCAGCCCGTCCTTGAGGAGCAGAGCGAGCAGCGGCAGAGGTGGGTGTTCCGGGAGGCGTGGGGCAGCCCTGCGTGGTTCTGTCACCTCAGATAGACCCTTGGGTGTGCACCCCTCGGGGTGCCCAGTGCCCGTGGCAGTGGGAGCTGAGCATGTCCCCTCTTCTCTCCCTGCAGTGCCAGCCCCTCGCCCCGGTCAGAGGAGGAGAAGGTGGCGGAGCTGGCCAAGCAGCTGCGGGAGAGTACTGCCAAGCTGCAGACACTCAGGGCAGAGGTGAGGGACGCTGGCTCCTGGGTCATAGGTCGAGTGACGTCACCTACCCAGCATGCTCTGTCGTGAGGCTCATGTGAGATGGCTCATACAAGGACCCAGGGGCTTCTAGAACGTGCTGGGTACTTGGTGCACATGAAGGTGACAGAGCCAGGAAGCTTTCTCCAGGGAAGGGATTGGCCTGGAAGCCAGGCCCCTCGCCCGGCCTGAGCTCCCGGCTTCCCACACTCTGTGGCTTGCGACCCTGCCAGCAGCTCCTGGGCTCAGCCTCCTCCTCTTACGTCGCGGGTCTGTTCCTTGGGCTGACCTGTCTGTCGGGTGTTGCCAAGCAGGGCTCGCTGCAGTCCCCGCTGGCCCCGTTGGCTTTACGGTGCGCTTCTCAGCAGAAGCCAGGGGCCGCCGCCAGTGGGACCGACATGAGCACCCTGGAGCAAAAGCTGCGCCTGGTCACCTCTGACTTCCACCAGCTCGTGCTGGCCTTCCTCCAAGTCTACGATAACGAGCTGAGTGAGTGCTGCCAGCGCCGACGCCCTGACCTGCACCTGTGCGGCCCCACGGTCCAGTCTGTGTCGCAGACTCTGACTTCCTGTAGCCAAGTAAGGTCCAGCCCTGCCCCCCACACCTGCGGCTTGTGCCCTGCTTGCACTCAGGGGTCTCTGCTGCCCCCAGTGAGGGACCTGAGGGCTGGGATCAGGGACTGGGGCTTGGCAGCGGCATGGGGCAGACGTTGTTCCTGTGAGCTGCAAGGGCTGAAAGCGTGGTCCCCAAGAGCCCGCTGCACTTCAGCTGAGACGGCGGGCCCCGAAGAGCCTTGTGTACTGCTGGCTTGCCTCAGCCTGCAGCTTCTGTCCCTGTGCTGGTGGCGCTCTGTTTTTACACCGTGCTCCCATGGAGCGAGGCCCGGGCCCGTGAGCCAGCTGTGGCAGGACGGGAGAGAGCGCACTCAGGCTGCTAGGCCCTCCCAGTCACTGTCCACTGACCACCTGGCTCTGCCCTGCAGATCCCCAGCAGCCAAGGCAAAATGCAGGCGCACATTATTTTAACAGGAAGGTGCCAAATCTTCCCACCATCTGGCCAGCCTGCCCTGCGAGACTCCTGGATGGGTGGTTTGGGTACTGTGTTCTGTCACAAAGGCCCTTGGTTCTTGGGACACTTTTTTTTTTTCATGCCCTGCCCTGTGCTTGGGCTGGGTTGGGAGCACACGCAGGGAGGGCTTGCCAGGTGGAGAACTCTGGCCACTCTCCCTCTGGGAGTTCTGTCTTTGTGGACGAGAGCCACGTGCTCGGTTGTGACCTTGAGTGGGAAGCAGAGATTGAATGTGCACCCCCACCCTCCCTCCCCGCCAGCTGTTGAAAGCGGTTGTAGAGATCACGGACACGGCTGCGAAAGCCACGGAGATGGCCAAGAAGCAGCAGGGCGAGCCCATCTGTTGGGGCAGCAGCAGCTCCGTGAAGAGTCTAGGTATGTGGCCGGGGGGCCGGGCTGCTGGGGCTCCCGGCACCCTTTGGGCCTGCCGCATGCGGGCACTCTCTTTTCTCTGCTCAGCGCCTTCTGTCTTTCCTCCTCCTCCTCCTGCCCCTCCCTCCCCCCTCTCCCTTCCTTCTTTCTGTCTGTCTTTGTTTTCCTTCTCCTTCTCCTTTTTTTAAAAAATTTCTTTATTTGAAAGTCAGAGTTACACAGAGAGAGAAGGAGAGGCAGAGAGAGAGAGAGAGAGAGAGAGAGAGAGAGAGAGAGGGAGAGAGGTCTTCCATCCACTGGTTCACTCCCCAATTGGCTGCAACAGCCAGAGCTGCACTGATCTGAAGCCAGGAGCCAGGAGCTTCTTCCGGATCTCCCATGTGGGTGCAGGGGCCCAAGGACCTGGGTTATCTTCTATTGCTCTCCCAGGCCACAGCAGGGAGCTGGATCAGAAGAGGAGCAGCCGGGTCTAGAACCAGCACCCATATAGGAAGCCGCACTGCAGGTGGCGGCTTTACCTGCTACACTACAGTGCCAGCCCACAGCTTCTGCTTTTATTTAATTGATTTGAAAGGCAAAGTGGCAGAGAAAGAGGGAGAGAGAAGAAAAAGAGATCTTCCATCTGCTGGTTCCCCCTCTAAATAGTTGCAATGGCTGGGTCTGGGCCAGGCTGAGACCAGGAGCCTGGAACTCTATCTGGGTCTCCCATGTGGCTGCAGGGGCCCAAGCACTTAGACCGTTCTGTGCTGCCTTCCCAGGCACACGTGCAGGCAGCTGCATGGGAAGCAACACAGCTGGGATTTGAACTGGCGCTCTGATATGGGATGCTGGTGTCGTAAGCAGCAGTGTAACCCATTGGGCCACAAGCTGGCTCCTTTCCTCTTTCTCTCATACATATTTTCCTTCTCTTGGAAGACAATTTCAGTGGGTTATAGAATAAAAGCATTCACTGTAGAAAATTAGGATAATCCAAAGACATGCAGAGGCGAAACTCCCAGGGCTCGTTGGTGTTAGGATTTTAGTCTCTTTCAGTTCTTTCCCTTCTTAGCATTACCATTTCTACACTTTTTATAAATGAGGTGTAGGCGTAACACGTGCATAGTTTGTTTGATATCGTGTTCTTTCCCTTTCACCTGATTGTAAGCGCTTTCCCAGGTGTCCTAGGTAACAGCTTTTGTTGCCAAATATCCTTGCGTTCAGACATGTGCTGTCACTGTCTCGAGGTCGTTCTCAGCTCTTGGCTGCTTTTGAGGGGTCGTCACACAGATGCTGGATTTCCAAACGTTCTGCACCAACATTGGCCTCTCCATTCCATTTTCTCCCTGAGCTTTTGGATGTAGCCCCCTGTGCCGCTGTGCTAGTGCAAGGTGGACGCAGTTCCAACATCTAACGCTAGGGGGTGCCTGGCTACACGGAGGTGCAGCTCCCAGGCTGCAGAGATGAGCCAGGTGTTTACAGGTGCTGCCTGTCTCCGTAGCCTTCGCTGTAGGCTTCAGGTGCTGCTCAGCTGACTTAGCCTGTGCATTTCCAGTCTGTAAACAGGATGCCGTGGCCGTGTTCAGACACGCGTTACGTCCCCATGATGGAGGGCCCAAAGGCCAGTCAATAAGCCAGGCTCCGCAACTGCATTTGAGCCTTTTTTTTTTTTTTAACTTTTTTTGATATTGGATGGGGGCAAAATTGTATCTTTGACTTGAATTAACCGTTTTGTAATCTGAGGAAGTTATTTTTTCAGTATTGCAGTGGAAATACACATGCGGAAAGGTTTGGTTTAATAAGAGAACTTAGAATCGTGAAGGGAATGTCAGTGTGTGGGGCTGGTTCGCATTTTCCCTGTGTTATTCCAGCTCAGGTGACTTCACAGTGAGGGAGAAGTAGGGCGTGGCCAGCTAGACCCCCAGGGGCCCCTTGCTATCATATGCTCTCTTGCCCCCAAGTGATGGCTGTTTTGACGTGGTGACACTTTTTCCCTGGAAGCTTCCCCTCTGTCGTGTGTATTTTGTTCACGTTGATTGCCGTGTGCCCTGCGTCGCTGTGGCAACTCCCCAGCTCTGCAGTTCTGGTGGATTTGAAAGCAGCCATAGAACGAATGTGTCTGGCTGGGTTTCAGTAAAGCTGAACTTTTCAGAAGGGGCAATGGGCTGTTGCTGGCCAGCTCCTGCTGCCCGGGTTTTTGTCCTGTGCCTGTCCCTTCTGTTCACGGACAAGTGGCTGGTGTCGGCTCGGGGTCCTTAGCTGCAGCTTGTGTTCGTGTGAGTGGGATCCCCGGGAGCACACGGGTGCGGGTGTGGATGCGTGTGTGTGTCTCCCAGGCACCCGGCTGCCTGCTGCCTCGTTGCCTGTCCCCGCAGCACCGTCAGACACCTCACTGCTCCATGCTCCTCGGTTCCTCCTTTGGTTCCGCTTTCTCACTGGTGCCTCTCTGTAGGAGGCGAATGCTGTGTCGTTGTCTGTATTTTGTGTTTAACAACTAGCAAGCTTAGCCTTTCTTCTTGATTTATCAACTGTGCACGTTTCCTCCCGTGCGAGGGGCCTGTTTAAGTCCTACTGATTTTTCTAGTTCAGCTGTACCTTTCATGTGGGCTTTTGATGTACAGTAGCTTTTAACTTAAACGCTGTCGAGTGGATAGTGCTATCTGAAGCTGGGTCCCACGCGGGCGGCAGGAAGCCACCTACTCGAGCCATCACCACTGCCTCGCAGGTATACACTGGCAGGAGGCTGGGGTCAGGGGCCGGAGCCATGAATTGAACGCAGACGTTCCGCTCTGGGGCACGCGTATTTGAGCGCCCGCCTATCGGAGAGCTCTGTCCATGTGGATTGGAGTTGCGGTTTGTACTGTTTCCCTTCAGCCCACCTCTGCTACTTTGTGGGGAGAAGATCCACTGGTGACGAGCTCCCAGCCCGTTTTTTTTTTTTTTAAGTGACAACGTCTTAATTTTCTCCTTTAGTTTTTTTTTTTTTTAAATTTATTTGACAGATAGAGTTAGACAGTGAGAGAGAGAGACAGAGAGAAAGGTCTTGCTTCCGTTGGTTCACTCCCCAAATGGCCACTACGGCCGGTGCGCTGCGCTGATCCGAAGCCAGGAGCCAGGTGCTTCTCCTGGTCTCTCCCATGTGGGTGCAGGGCCCAAGCACTTGGGCCATCCTCCACTTCCTTCCTGGGCCACAGCAGAGAGCTGGCCTGGAAGAGGAGCAACCGGGACAGAATCCAGCACCCATATGGGATGCCAGCACTGCAGGCGGAGGATTAACCAAGTGAGCCACAGCGCCGGCCCCTCTCCTTTAGTTTTGAAGGCTAGTTTTTCTGGATATAGAATTCCTGGTTGACAGCGTGTTGCTTTCCTACTTGCGAAGCCGGCTGTTAATGTTACTGCGGACCTTGTGTGTGAGGAGTCTCTTCACTCCCTTCTTTCCGTTCAAGAAGCAGAAGAAGCTCTGCTCGTCTCTGGCTCGGCCCGTTTGATGTAATGTGTCTCAGCATGGATCCTATTTGAAGGTTTCTGAGCTTTTCTGTTGGTATAGATGAATTTTATTTTATTCTTTAATTTTTTTTTAAAGAATTTATTTATTTGAAAAGCAGAGTTACAGAGAGGCAGAGAGAGAGAGAGAGAGAGGTCTTCCATCCGCTGGTTCACTTCCCAAATGGCTGCAATGGCTGGAGGTTGGCCGATCCGAAGCCAGGAGCCAGGAGCTTTTTCCAGGTCTCCCACGTGGGTGCAGGGGCCCAAGCACTTGGGCCAACCTCCACTGCTTTCCCAGGCCACAGCAGAGAGCTGGATCGGAAGAGGAGCAGCCAGGACTAGAACAGGCGCCCGTATGGGATGCCAGCAAGTGTCGGCCCCAGTTTGTTTTTTTTTTTAATCAGCGATCAGGTAGGCAGTTGACGCTTTTCCTTCTGCATATCTTGCTTGCTCAGAGCCTCAAGGTCAGCCAGAGGTGAGAGGTCAGAGCCTTCTCAGGTCTCTCCTGGGTGCTTTCGTAGCTCTGGGTGTGCATGACCTTTGAGAGTCCCGGCTTTTGGGTTACTCTCTGGGCTGCCCCAGTGGCTGCCCGAGCCCTCAGGTAGCAGCAACATCAGCACCTGGCGAGAAACGTCTTCCACTGCCGCATCCCCAGGTCGTCCCTTTCGGCCAGGCCGCCGCTCAGGCCCAGGCCCAGGCTCAGGCCTCTCTTTGGAAACTGGCAGCAGAGTCCTCCACGTTAAAGGTTATTAGAGCACTGGCCCTAATCAGCCCGTTGCTCATTCTCACCTCTCTCTGTGTAATTGCCGTTAATAAGCTGCTTATAATCCATGCTGCCATTATTATAATAATGATCACTAATATTCCTAACACAGTGCCTCTCACCTGGGACCATGGCACAGGTGCACTGGACTTGGGAGGGGAGGAGAGCCTTGCTCTTGGCTGCTGACTCAGCGCTGGTCAGTGCAGCTTTCTGATTTGGTTCAAGGCCAGTCTTCAGGAGTCAGTGTCAAGTGTGTGCTCCTGGCTGCTAGCAGTGGCCCTTCGCTTGTCCCACCTCCGCCTGACACATGGACGGCCTTGGTCTTCATGGCCGCCTCCAGCCCTCCCACCAGACAGGCTGTGTTCCTCTGCTGTTTTCTCCCAGCGGCCTGGGTGCCAGCACTGGGCTTATGGCGGCAGTGTGCCCCACGCGTGCTGTGACACTGGGGCCCTGAAGTGAGGGCCTTGCCCATTCTCCTTCGCCACATGCCAGGCCTGCCCCACGATGCCCAGGGTTTGAGCACATTTAGAAAACCTGGCGGTGCTCTGAGGACTGAGGAGGAGCCGAGGTGCTGCACCTGCCCAGGAGGGGGAAGTGAACGGCTGGGATGTGAGGGGTGCCCGGGAGCTGTGCGATCCTAGCTTCCCGCTGTGACTGGCGGCAGCCCAGGCGAGGCCCACGGCTTCCTGGTCTCGGATGTATGGTGTTGTGAGGGCTGCCCCGTCTGCTCCTCCCACGAGACTCCTCCTCCAAGCCCCACTCTGTACCATAGCAATCCCATTGGGCAGGCTACGGTTCTGAGTCAGAGTACATGCAAAATTATGGGCAAGCTTTATGCTTCTTGGCTTCCACTCGCTCTGCGGAGAGTTAGGGCAAGGCAGGACCACTGGGCCGGGCGGAGAATTGCGGGGGGTGGGGTGGGGGTGGGGCTCAGGACTGGGTGCGGCCAGGGGCTGGAGGCTGGGAAAATCAAGGATATAAGAGAGGCAGGCCAGAGCCCAGGACAGCACAGCCTGGAGAGAAATGCAGGTTGCGACAGGAAGCCCACTAAATCTAGGGGGTGGGCTGAGCATGGTCCCCATTGGGATTCCAGTTGACCCGCTGTACTCAGCCAGATTTCTGTGCTGCGACAGGTCAGGAAATAGCATGATATGTTGATTTTTGCTTTTAGTACATGATAGTACGAGCAGCCAGGGCCAGAGTCTTCAACGAATGCATCTGCGACACGAGGACCCAGCTACCTGGGCATCAGCCCGCAGCCCCTCACCCGAGTCACTCCTCAGCACAGGCCCTGTGTCAGTGTTAATGATGTTGACTTGTGAAAGACCAATGTGACTGATGTAGTGGGGCAGTAGTAGGGGAGAGGACGGGCAGGGCTGGGGGAAACACTAGGGGTGTGTGTGTGTAAGCAGGAAAACCCGAAGGAAGAACGGAACTCGGGCGGGGCGCAAGGCACTGAGTCCTCAGCCCGGAGGCGCCGTCTGACTGTTAGGGCAGTCACGGTGCCCTGCCCTGCGCACAGCCTTCGGGCAGCTGGCTCTGTGCACCTGCTGTTCATCTGATGAAAATGAACGCGGCCAGGGCTGCTGCACGCGTCAGACATGGCCTGGCCTAAGCCTCAGCCTCTGTACTGTGATTGCTGGGCCCCAGTCTAGGGCCCCTGGCCCAGCACCCCCAGTGGGTCTCCTTAGCAGCTCCCAGCTCCAAGTTTCCGGGCCACAGTGCAAGTATAGTCCCCAGCCCCTCTGCCACCCCGGTTGCTCCTGAGCCTGCGGAGGACCGTGAAGGGAGGGCGGCGGCGGCGGGGGGGGGGCACCCCGGCACGGCCTGTCGTGGCCTCCTGCAGGCCAGAAAGCAGTGTACTAACTTGGCTGTTTGTGTTTCTCTTTGCAGCCGCTAAAATGGAGGAACTTACACAGACATACACGGTCTCCAGTGACAGCCTGCGCCAGGGCTCGGGCTAGTACAGAAGGCGATGGCCACGGGCAGGCGCCGCGGAGCCTTCGCAGCAGAAGCAGCTGCGGCCCCGACGTTGTCCGGGTCGCCCTGCTTTGCCTGCAGCCTCTGGCCTTGTGGGAGGGCTCTTGAAGAGAAAGGAAACCTCAGGATCTGAAAAGCTGCTTCCAGCCTGTTCTTTGCTTGCGTCACTCTGCGTTGTGTCCTACTCTCCCTGCGACTGCTCCAGCTGTGCCCCCTCACCCCCGGCTGCTGGCCTCCTGAAGCTTCCACTTCTCCCTCCCCGGCACCTGCTAAGCCCCAGAGGCCTCTGCTGTACCCTGACCCCAGCTGCGTGTACGCAGAGCCTGGGCCCCACACCCTCCTGTCTCCCTGCCCCTCCTCCCCCGGGCAACCTCAGAGTCCAGAGGAGGGCTCCTTGCAGCCCCGCAGCTGCCCTCCATGTGGTGCCCCGGGGCCTGCAGGCGGGGCATCTGCTTCCTCCCCCTGCCTCCCAGGGCCCACAGCATAGGGCTGGACTGGGGAATTCTTGCCAGTGGCCCGACTGGTTGTCCAGGAAGCTGCTCCCGGCTTCCTGGGCTGACCCAGTACCTCCTGAGCAATGTGCCTGTCACAGCCGCCCCCCCTTCCCTTGAGCGGGCACAGGCATGAGTGCTGGGGCCTCGGCCCCGCTTTGGGCTGCTGGTAGTGGGAGGGGCTCTTGCGCTACTGCCTGCCCCACCCTGTTCCCCCAAGCCCTGCTGTGTGCACTTGAGCCATGGAGGTCCTGGGAGCACTCCCCAGACAGCTGCTGGGGGAGGAGGGGTGAGAGGACAGGTGGGCCTGTGGTCACCACTCTCCAGGCAGAGCCGCTGTTCAACAGGCCAAGGGATTGGGGTGGATTTGGAAAGTGTCAAATGGCTAGCCTGCACTGCCATTGCAGTGGGGGCCCTGGGATGTCACCATGTCCAGGACCACGGAGGGCCTTCTAGCCACCCTCCTGGGGTGATGGTGCTCTTCGCCTGGAGTCAAGGGTCCACATGGCCGGGGGTCCTGGAGCCTCCCGCCCACTCTGTTGTGCTGCTCACCTGGGGCGGCACTGAGGCCCTTGTCCTTAGGGTACCCTGGCCTTTTACAGGCTGAGCGTGCCGTGTGGAGCACTTCTCTCACAATCCTGAGCACACCTCGGCCTGCTGAGGGGCAGCCCGACGCGCAGGGCTGGAGTGGGAGACGGAGGCTTCGAGAAGGGAACCCTGTGCTCCTGGGTGCCACGTCCCAGCACGTGGCTTGACACCAAGGTGGAGTCTGCTGGGCCTGGCTGCTGGGGCCTGGCCCCCATCGCACTTCCAGCCCCTGTGGCTCCCTCCTCCTGCCTGTGACCACACGCTCTTCAGGAGCCTGCGTGTGGCCAGAGCCTGCCTTCTAATGTGTCAACACGGGCGTGTGTCGCAGTGGCTGTGAGCTAGGAGGGGGTGGCAAGCAAGCCGGCTGCACAGGTCCTGCGGCCTCAGGTCTTCTGGTTGCCCAACAGGCGGCTGGGGGCGGGCCGTGGCCACTGATTAAAGGCAGCCTGGAGCAGCCCGTGCGGAGACAGGTACCCAGCAGCCCAGGAAGCCGGCCAGCTCCCGCCCCAGGTAAGCCAGCACCAGGCTTGGCCACGACCGCTGCCAGGAGCCCGGAGGCAGGCACAGGCCACTTTGGGGCCAGCACCTGTGTGCCAGGGAGGCGGTCCGGGGAGGCGGGGGCTGTTGCCTGGTATCCGACCCTAGGTGTCCCGGGTGCAGGGGTTGGGCTTAGGGAAAATCAGGTGGGGTCGAGCCGGCCAGGGAGGGCCCTGAGGGACTGCATGGAGGGAGTGATGGGTCCATGGGGCTTCCTCGTGGACAGCAGTAGCAGGCCCTGCTTGCTTGTCCCAGCTCTGGAGGTCCCGGGGGCCCGAGCTTCGGCCAGAGCGGTGGCTGTGTGTAGCAGGGCCCGGGCGTGCCGATGTCCGTAGTTCTCAGGTCTGGTGCCTCTTGCTCTGGTAGCTGTAGGCCTCCTGCCCCGTGCGGACGTCACCATGTCTGAGGCACCCCGGGCTGAGACCTTCGTCTTCCTGGACCTGGAAGCCACCGGGCTCCCCAGCGCCGAGCCCGAGATCGCCGAGCTCTCCCTCTTCGCCGTGCACCGCTCCTCCCTGGAGAACCCGGAGCGCAACGAGCTGGGCATCCCTGTGCTGCCCCGGGTCCTGGACAAGCTCACACTGTGCATGTCCCCCACACGCCCGTTCACGGCCAAGGCCAGCGAGATCACCGGCCTGAGCAGCGAAGGCCTGGCGCGGTCCCGGAAGGCTGGCTTCGACGGCGCCGTGGTGCGGACATTGCAGGCATTCCTGAGCCGCCAAGAGGGCCCCATTTGCCTCGTGGCTCACAACGGCTTTGACTATGACTTCCCCCTGCTGTGCACGGAGCTGCAGCGCCTCGGTGCCCAGCTGCCACGGGACACCATCTGCTTGGACACACTGCCGGCGCTGAGGGGCCTGGACCGTGCCCACAGCCATGGGACCCGCGCCCAGGGCCGTAAGGGCTACAGCCTGGGCAGCCTCTTCCGCCGCTACTTCGGCGCTGAGCCCAGCGCGGCGCACTCGGCCGAGGGGGACGTGCACACCCTGCTCATGGTCTTTCTGCACCGCGCCGCTGAGCTCCTCTCCTGGGCCGATGAGCAGGCCCGCAGCTGGCTCCACATCCAGCCCATGTACACGCCGCCTGACTCCCTGCACCTCGAGGCCTGAGGCCTGGAGCTGTGCTGCCCCTGCCCCCCACTGTTAGCTGAGCAGCCCCAGGCCTGTGCAGCTGCGGGGCCTGCGCTTCCCTCCCCTCCCCCTTCCCCCGCTTTGCCCTGGCCTCCCATGACCCTGGAGCCTTGTCTCACCCTGGCCCATGCATGCCCCAGGGGAATTCGCTGCTTCCTGGCTTCCACCCTTCACCCTCTTTCTCAATAAACATCATGGCTAACTACGCACCTGACCCAACTCTTGGGGCCAGACGCCCCCCTGGCTGATCTTGTCAGGGGCTGCAGCGAGCCCCGTGGGTGACCCTGTGCCACCGAGGACAATGAAAGGGGGAGCTGAGCCTGCGTGGCTGCGCCTGCCTGGGGCACGCCCAGCTCCAGCCCTGGCCTGTGGCGAGAACCTCGTGTCACCGGTGCCCCCAACCTCTGTGCCGGGACACGGGGCGGGGAGGAGTCACCCCCACCCACAAGAAGCTGCCGATGCCGACACGCTGTGTCCGTGTGAAGTGTGTAGCCTAGACAGGCCTGGCTGCGAGGTTCACTTGGGGCATGGAGCAGAAGGTGACACCTGGCCAGGAACCTGTCCGGGGTCCTGTGTCCCTTGTCATCAGCTGCGTTGGCTGAGCTTCAGGGTGCTGGCTAACCTGCCTGTGGGGCCCCACCCGGAGGCACTCCCAGTCGCGGGCGTGGGGAGGCGGGCGAGGAGAGACCTGTGTCACCAAACACACGGGCAGGTAGAAGGGGTGTGGTGGCCACACCCGGGAGTGACTCGCATGAGCCAAGCCTGCAGCCTTGAGCCCGCCAGGCCCGTTTGGGGAACGCTAAGTAGGTCACAATGAATGGAGCAACGTGCGAGCTGGCCGGGTGAGGAGGCCAGAAAGCAGGCAACAGCCACGTCACAGCCCGTGCTGACGCTGAGCCTCATGGCCCCAGGGAGCCACATGGCCCCAGGGAGCCACGGGAGGCTGTAAGCAGGACAGGGGCAAAATCTGATCGGAGTTTTACGCTGCCTCTCTGGCTGCTGGGTGAATGACCTTAGAGGAGGAGGAGAGGGCAGCCACCAAGGAGGAGGAGAAGCTGGGCTAAGCTGGGCTCTGCTGGGGGTAGGGCTGGGGGAGGGGCCGCTATGGGGCAGCACCTACAAGGGCTGGTGTGGCAACCTGCTTAGTATGTGGAGTGTCACGAGGTCGGGGTCGGCCAGGCTGGGCCTCCCTGCAGGACACAGCACTAGGCAGGTGCTGAAGATGTGGTGTCCAGGCAGGGCCTGCTCCCATTAACCGAGCTAACCAGGTTCCATGCAGCTTGAATTGAGAGGTGGGACCCTAACAATGCAGGCCTGCCACTGTGTTGCCCGGCCGGGTCGCATTCAGCCGCTCCTCATTCAGCAGTCCGCAGGGGCTCAGCTCCTCGCAGTCCGCTGCCCAGTCTCACTTTGCCACCACCTGGGGCTCCCCTGCCTCCCCAGTGGACTGGCTTCACATGCCCTCCGTGAGTCCATGCTGGGACGGGCCAAGCCAAGAGCACTGCTTCTGTGCTGCTCAGACGCGCTGCATGCTGCGACCTGCCCCTGGCCCTCCCGGCAGTGTCCTGCTGATAAACACCCACCAGGCAGCCCTCCAGGGAAGCACGCACAAGTGCCAGTCCCCGCCCACGCCAGGATGCGGGTCAGAGCTGCGTGCGTCCCTGAGTACTGGCAGCTACTTCCTTGCTGAATCGGGTAGCAGTTTTCCAATACTGCCAAGGCTACCCATAGGGCGTTGTGAACATGTTCTCCATTGCTTTCTTAAGTTCACAGATTGATAACACGTGGCCCGAACGGGAAGATGCAATAATGCATTTTGAATATCTCCTTTATTTTTGTCACTGTTTGTCAGTTTATATAATGTAATTTTTAGAAGACTTATTTATTTTTCTGAAAGTCAGAGTTATACAGAGAGAGGAGAGGCAGAAAGAGAGAGGTCTTCCATCCACTGGTTCACTCCCCAAATGGCCACAAAGGCCCAAGTTGTGCTCATCTGAAGCCAGGAGCCAGGAGCTTCTTCCAGGTCTCCCACACAGGTGCAGGGGCCCAAGGACCTGGGCCATCTTCTACTGCTTTCCCAGGCCATAGCGTAGCAGAGAGCTGGATCGGAAGAGGAGCAGCCAGGACTCGAACTGGTGCCCATATGGGATGCCGGCACTGTAGGTGGTGGCTTTACCCGCTGTGGCACAGCACTGGCCCCTATAATGTAATTTTAGAAGTTGCTTTATTTGAGACAGAGGGAGAGAGCATCCACTCCTATCCACTGATTCACTCCCCAAATGCTCACAACAGTTGCGGCTGTGCCAGGCTGAAGCCAGGAGCCTGGAACTCAATCCGGGCCTCCCAAGCGGGTGGCAGGCACTCTGGAGTCAGGGCCCAGAGCCAGGAAGTCAG